GTAAGGCCTATGTAAGGGAATATCCCCATAAAATATGGTCGTATATGGTACAGTACCTCCATTTTAGGATCCTGAAATTCCCATTGACATTATGATCCAAGACGTTCCGGGCCCTAGGGTAAACGGTAAAAAAAAAAATGGAGAACCCATGGGGAAAGCCGTTTGGGAAATGATCTACACATGGTGGGCTTTCCTGGGTTTTCCACATACGTCTGTTTGTTTACGGAAGGTGATTTATATGCGTACATACATTTATATAAATAATTTACATCATATAAATATACATGTTTATTCATTTATCTATATTATTGTTTCTAGATCTATATGTATTCTATATTTTTTGACCTTTTCAGGTTGGGTGGAATCTCCTATTTCACGTGGTTATAACAGGTTGGGCCCCCGGGCCCCAGATCCCAAGCTAGTTCTCCCAGTTATCCATCGGGTGCGTGGATGTATTACCCAACATGCCAGTCATATCAATGGCCATTGCAGGATCCTAAATTGGAGGTACCTAACATATATAAGGCCTATGTAAGGGAATATCCCCACAAAATATGGCCTTATATGGTACCGTACCTCCATTTTAGGATCCTGAAATTCCCATTGATCATATTCTGGTTGGTGGTTGACCATGGTTGACCTAACCCTCTGAAAAATGATGGAGTTCGTCAATGGGAAGGATTAATTATCCCATATATGAAATGGACATAAATGGACAAATAATCCAAATGTTCCAAACCACCAACATGCCATTCGTATTCTACTCGTATTCCATAGTTCTCCCATGTTCTACCCTGATTTTTCCACCCCAGCTGCACCAATCTCCTCAACAGGGGGTGCTTGCGCCTCTGCGCGCACCTTTGAAGGTTGGGATTGGACTTCGAGGACCATCCGACATGGGATGAACACGGCTGTTTTCTTGTGGAACATTGAGATTTAACCAGTGAAAATGGGGATTAAAACCATTCAAAATGTGGATTTCCTGGGCCTGGGATATAATGGGGATATCATGAGGTGCAACTAAGCAACAATATGAATCAATACGTTACATGGCTGTGTCTGACAAGAACGGATTAATCCCCCATGATTCTTGTTCGCCCTCCTGGTTCAGCGAAGGCTGAAACCAAGGAATGGGGTACCCTATTTTCAGACAAACCTATAATATGGAATTACCCTCTGGTAATTTAACATAGCTATTGAAAATGGCCATTTCTAGTGGATTTTCCCATTAAAAATGGTGATTTTCCATAGCTATGTTAGTTTACCAGAGGGTAATATGGCTGTAACTTGACACGAGGCACCTGAATTGCATAAGCCCCGTCACACGGGACAGCCATGACCAGGATTGATCAGCCCTGATGATCCGAGCGTGGATTCAACGTCATCAAAGACGTGTGGACCCGACGAAGATCTACGAAGCAATCAGCCCCAGATACCCTTCGGCCATCAAACATGGCTAGCTAGGAAATCCCCGATGGAACTTTGTAGCCTTGAAAGTCATCAAACTAAATGCTGGATTTTCCAGCAAGCCATGGCTGGAAGGTCACCCCAGGCCCTGTTTCGGCGAGTCCAACCTGTGCGGCCATTTGCGCTTGTCTCAATGCCGCTGGTGGCGGCTGTTTGGGATAGCCACCCACTGGGGACGCCTGCGGCTGACACAAGGCCACCATAGGAAAGAAGTACCACCAGGATCAATCATGTCCCCTACCAAACTAAGCTTGTTGGGTACCCGAATTTCAGAGACATCCATATCTCATATTTTTGGTTTGTGACGTCCTATATATATATATATATCTCTCTCTCTGTGTGTGTGTGTCCTGATTATATCCCGCTAAACCAGCATTTTCCAGAATGAATTCGCGGATGAACACCTCTCCGCCAATGATTTTTGTTGGCCCTTCCGAGCGCCGGGACACCGGGACACGCCAGGCACCTTGCTCACAGCTGGGCTGGGCACCTTCACAGTGGACTTGGCCTCCGCTACAAGTCAGTGAGCTGGGAAAGCCCCTATAAATCAAGGTGTAGCTGGGAAAATCATCTATAAATGGGGGAAAAACAGGAAACCACGGAGCTGATTACTGGTGCAATTGCAGAAAGTTGATAAGAAGTCTGGTTGGGTCTGGGTCTGGACATTGTGTCACAGCCTCATCATCCTCATCTAGAAGCCACAAACCGGTTGGATCATGCCAGATGTGGTGGGGAACCGCTGGCACATGATATACCAACACACCTGCCCGTGGACTCAACACCATCACAAAATCCTCAAACTATTCAGGCCACCTGTTAACCCATCCTCCGAAATGGATGGAGGTATACCCTCTGGTAATTTAACGTAGCTATTGAAAATGGCAATTTATAGTGAGTTTTCCCATTAAAAATTGTGATTTTCCATAGCTATGTTAGCTTACTAGAGGGTAATTCTTGGGTTTATCACATTAGCCAAGGTCAATAAGGATGTGATGGTATAATTTTTCTTATCTATTCCGGCAGTCGAAAATGGCAAGTAAACCATGTCATGTCATATCGGCGATTCTCCTGTGTCTGTGTATGTATGTATGTATGTATGGATGTATGGATGGATGGATGGATGGATGGATGGATGGATGTTATACATATATATATATATATATCTATCTAAAAGAAACGTGTAATCTTCCAGCCAAACATGTGTGATCTCTTATCGAAAGTTAGATTCTTTTCTACTGGGTGCTAAAGCCATATCTTTTTTGATGGGTATGTCTGAAATATGGCGCCCCCCAATTCATCCCGTAGTTGATCATCAATTTCCCCCATTGGCGGCCCGCCATATCTTGGTTTCTCCGTGGGTTCCATAAAAATTGCAATCACCAAAGGGGAAATCAGCAAATCCATCAAAAATCCATCAATTTTGCAGGAAAGGGTGATTTAAAAAAAAAACATTGCTGTTGCTTGAACTCCTATCATCTTCTATCATCCACCTGGATAGGTAAAAATATGTCACCAACCGGAAATTCTCTGCCAGCAGTTTGGGATGGTTCAACCATTCTAATCATACATATACTATCATATACTATACTGTTCTAGCCACGTCGCGACTTGGTTAAATCTACATCATCCATTCTCTCCCAATGCCCCCAGTGTATCACCATGTTTGTTGGTTTTTTGTCACCTTTTTTGATGGTTGAATCATCATGTTGTGTGTATTAAATTATATCATCCTCCATCATCCATCACCATGTTTGATGTCCCCAAAGCTTTGCCAAAAAGATAGAAACCTCGAACATATGGTGGAAAAAAAAAACTTTCGGCAGGTTTTTGGGTGGTTACTGGATATAACTATATCCATCTATATCCCATTATATCATATTATATCCCCATATTGTTGGTTATATCCCAAGCATATCGCAAATCATACCCGATTAAAGCCCATTAAATCAACATGTTTCATATAAAATTCCCATTGCATCATCATTAACATCCTAATAAAACATCTCTTAATCCTATTGAATAGCAATTCTTGAGAATTCCCATGTCATTCCCATTACATCCCATTTGTTCAGCGCATCCATCTTGCAAACCGACGATTTCGCGCCTTGGCTTTGGCTATTCTGGCCTCTGTGGCCACAGCTGCAGCACCCCTGGCCCAAAACAGAGCGATTTCTGCGGAGAAGAATGGAAAAAAGTGGGACATCATTAACTAGCTCAAAATATATGACTGGTTGGTGGTGCAATAACCATCTTGAAAAATATGACAGTCAATGGGAAGGATTATCCCATACATTATGGAAAATAAAAACTGTTCCAAACCACCAACCAGATTAACTATATAAGTATGGGTCAAAATCAAAGACTGGGGATCTAACATGGTCTAACAGACTTAAGTCGATCTTTAGTACCAACCATCCAATTATTGGACCCAATTTTGGTCGTAAATGTTCATAGATTGGGAAAACATGCCGGATTTCACATGATTTCACCCTAATTTTGATTGCAATTTCTCTAGCGAAAATGTTGGAATCCACCAGTGGATAAGATGGCTTTCCCATTGGTGGAGCCAGGTTTTTAGAGACCCACAACCTGCAGCGACCCGAGCCGACTGGTGAGTCTCTCTCCCAACCATTCCATGGGAATATCGGAATGTCAGATTTTTTTTTATGTGAAAAATAGTGATTTAATGGGATCTTAATGGGATGTGATTGGGGATATAATTACTGCGAATATAACCAACCACATGGGGATTTAATGGGAATATCATGTTTTTAAAAAACATGAGAGTGATTTTCCCTTCCCCAATATTCAAAGCCCCAGGGAACCGTGGTTTAGTAAAGGATATTGTTTGGGTCCACAACCATGCGTAATATTAGTGATTAGTGGGATGGTGGGGATGGAATTACTTAAAACTGTCGACGATCCTTTCTTGAATCATGTCAAACTGCTGCGTCATAGTGAGCCTACCCAAATAGTCAAATACCCCATCGTGATGTTCAAACAGCTCTGCACAAAAAAAAGTCAATGTGACTGAACAGAACGGCAGGATCTCCCGTGTTTGCTCTCTGTATCTCGAGAGCCCTGCCCTGTTAGGTCCGAGATAGTGTGATTCAACTCGCCAAAGGGAAAGTAGCGGAAATTAAAGCTACCCGGCTGCGGGGGTAGCATCTCCCTAGATCTCCCGATACATCCAGTTCCTGCGGGTAAAACCCAACTGTGCTTGGTGAAACCCAACTTGCCGGCACAAAACAAACACTGCCTCCCGGACTCGGATAATTTCAGGGTGGCTGATGGCATTGGATTTCTCCACTGTTTAGCCTCTGGTACGCTAACAAGTTTGCTATTGACCATCTATTTAGTTCGTTGATCTACCTACTCAAAATGTCGATTTTCCCATTTGCTATGTGGGTATGGATCAATACCTATTAATACCATTTTTAGGGGGATGAACATCCATAAATCCCAGCTATTTTGATGTGAACAGAAGGGGTACGAGGTTTTGACACACTGCCATGTTAGTTTACCAGAGGGAGTCACCCCCCGGCTTCTTTCTCCTCTTCCCGCCTCTCTTTCTCCTCTGACAGTGGGGCCACAGCCGCCGTGGCACGACGCTGTTGCTGCTGGTCGACCAGCATCCTGCGAGTACCCGGGGGTTTCTCACCAAAATAGCTGGCCCAAACATGGGATAATAGGTCTTGATCCATATATATAATTAATATGGTATATCAAGATGGGGACCAAAGCTATGTTAGCAGCTATATGGATCAAGGATGACAAGTATCAAGATGGGGACCAAAGCTATGTTAGCAGCCATGTGGGAACAAGGATGACAAGTAACAAGTAGATTGACTGCTTGGAATAAGCAAGCCTGATACTTCCATGTAACTGGCGGATTATAATCACAAAGTGGATGATTGAACCCTTCTTCACTAGAATACGAGTAGGTTTAGAATAATTCCCTGACTGATCATATCACACATCAATCATTTATATTCACCCCTTCGGGAATTCACTGTTTTTGTGGGATGATATGATCGCTGCTTATGCTTTCCCAGCGGCTCAGTGGCCCCGGGGCCTCGCTTTGTCCACTTTTTGCTTCCCTTCTTCGTAGTTCCGCTTCAAGACTTTAATTTCATCCACCGAAAACCTGGCTGAACTGCAACATCTGCAACTGAGCATCACTAATGGGATGAACCAAATGAACCAAATGATGGACCGAAAAAAATCCATGTTGGACTCCACTCAAAACTCCTCCAAGAATCCAAGAACCGAAGACGTCAGCTGAGTCTCCGCACATCTTTTTGCCCTTTTCCCATCCTCAGCAGGGCTCGGATCAGACCTCCGTGGCCAGCTGGCCCTGGAGCCTTCAGAAATTTCATAGAAAACGCGGGGGGCCAGGAAATCCCGAAAGGGCCAGTTGGAAAGTGCCGAACAGGAGAAATATTGAGAAATCATCTTTCCAAACAACAGATTTCATGGGTGTCATCAACTGGTAATGCAACTTCTCCAGTGCCACAAGACCACACTCTGGTGTCAAAATAGCTGGGATGGTCTCAATAGTCTTGACCCATCCTCACTATGACGATGACAACGCTCAGCCCCTGACGTTCGTAGTTCTTGGTGGCTTCCTCTGCGAACACATCATTTCTCAGATTCCAAAGGAAGCGCTTTGAGAACATCTCAGAATTCCACATGGAAATGTGGTTTGAAATGCTGGATCAAAAGCTTCCGGATTTGACTGAACCATTTTCCAAGGGTCCCTGTCGCTGGTTCCACCCAGAGCAGCTCCTCGAGAGCTTTCTCAGCCTTGACTAGGTCTTGTCTAGCCTGGATGGTCAAGCCATGCACATGGGATCCACATGGGATCCCCCACATGGAGGGAACAAACCCCAAATGTCAACTCTATTGACCCTCCAGATTAGGAGAGTTTCTTGGGCTCAGAAGTGCCCAAAACCCAATTTCGAATCTTTGATCCCCTGCAAAAAAACACTTTAGTGGGCGGTAATCTGCCAATCCAATCCAATCCAATCCATCTTCCCTTCAACAGGATGAATCAAAATCATCCGAAAGTAGGGTACCATACCTCTAAATCCAGTGGTTTATCATCATGTTCCACCTTATAAAATGGCCATGGATTGGAGGTGTGATACCACCTTTTTCAGACCCATATATTATATATTATCATATTTTTCCTTAGATACATCTGATTATATCACCATGAAATACCCTCTGGTAAACTAACATAACTATGGAAAATCACCATGTTTAATGGGAAACTCCACTATTTCTATGGCCATGTTCAATAGCATTTTGTATGTTTACCAGAGGGTAAACATCCATTTTCCTATGGTTTTCCTATGGTTTTCCTATGGTTTTCCCATTAAAACCTCCATTTTCCTATGGTTTTCCTATGGTTTTCCCATGAAATCATGGTAGAAATTCCCGTGTTCAATGGTTCAATCCCCGTTGAGCCGGTCTCCTGGGCTCCCAGGCACGTCGGACGTGCGCGGGCTCCTCCTTCGCCTGTGCGCCCTGGACAAAAGGACTTCGCGCAGCTACGTAGCTGGGTAGTGACATCAATGGCCATTATGGATGGTTTATAATGGACAATCCATCTAATGGATGGATTTTTTCTGGGTTTTTGTAGGGTTTCTGAACTAAAAATAATCCATAGTTAATTCGTATGGCTGGTATTTTTCCCATAATAATTGGGAATGGAACAATCATCCCAACTGACGAACTCCATCATTTTTCAGAGGGATTGAAACCACCAACCAGTCAATGGCCATGACTCAGGAACCGAGAAAGATTGGAGGTACCCATATATAAGGCCTATTTTTCAGGCCTATTTTTAAGGGAATATCCCGAGAAAATATGGCCTAAAATATGGTACTAACGTACCTCCATCTGTTGGATCCTGGATTTCCCATTGATGAAATGTTCGTTGTGCTTATACATGGGATGTTGTTGGATATATATATATATGATATTGGACATGGTCCATGTATAATAATTTATATACAATGGGACAAATAAATATATTTATATATATAGGATAAATCCGGTTGCAACTTACTATAATCCGGGTCCCAAATATGTACAAATACCCAACAAAAAAAGGTTTGTGGTGGGCGTTTAACTGTTTCCCGTTGCTAAACATGCAAAACATGTTCATGGTTCTATAACTGTCTATAACCCAGTTCAAAGCAGCACAACCACATTAAAAGTGAAGGTAGAAGTTCACTGACTGACTTTAAGACACGGATAAACCGCAGTTGAAATATCCCATCTCACCACGGCACCACCTGGCAAAGGGTACCTACCATGTATACATATATACAGGTACATATATACCATATAAATATATATATATATATGTAAAAATAAATATATAATATAATAGATTTAATAGATAGAATATGATAGAATATAACTACAATTACAATATTCAATATTATATCTATACATATATAATCATATATATATAAGGCCCATTTTCATTGGGCAATGTAAGGGAATATCCGCCTCATCCCAGCCGCTCGCCTCCACCCCTCTCAGCAACTCTTGGAGCTTGTTTCTTTTCGCTTCGGCCCCTGGCGTAAACCGTGGCGGTTTGGCCGTGATGGAAGAAGCTGGAGCCTTGCCCCAATAAGCCGAGGCAAAAATGGAACTTTTGGGTACTTTTGGGATCGAAATCATGGACAATAAGCTGGGTGAAAAAGGATAAAGAAGACATGTTCATCATTTAATTAGTGTCATGGATCTTGATCGTTTGCATCATTTGCGCTGTGGAAAGAGGAGTACGGCTACTCAACAATCATTTGCCTGGCGGGGCAAACAGTTCATTCTCAAAATCATGAACTACCCTTGGCAACCATTCACCCAGTTACAGTATAGTTTTGGGGCTTAATGCAGTTGCATATGGGGTGCTACGATATGCTACGTGTAACAGCCACAGCAGCTTGAGTTGTCCTGCCTTTGCTGCTGTCATCCACTGACTTGATTTGCACCTGAAGGAACCTGTCGGCGTCCCCAAAATCTGGCGGACATGTTGGTGCTTCATCTATCAATGGATTGGTTTGTTGGGGAAAATCTACAGGAAACCATGGTTTTTACATGTTTTTACCATCAAATATAGGGCTTTCCTGTAATTTTTCCCATCATCCAATTCTATGAATCTATTTTCATCTTAATTTCAGTGTTCCGATTGAAGATGTCCACCCCTCAGAAATCGGGGGGAATGAACCCTATGGCTAGCAACGCAGAAAACGCCACGGTAATCTTGGACTTTGTAGTTGTCCCCGCGAGTATCCTAAGAGCCTTGCTGCAAACACGTTGGAAAAACACTTCATGTGAGTAGTGAAACTGAGTGGCTTTCTCCATCAGTTTTTGGAGGGTTTTTGGCACACCATCTCCCCAGTCTTGCTGGTTACTCTCCATCTCTCAGTTCTTAGTGGTTAAAGCCGTTAAACCTCCAATGTTTTGCTCAACATTCTCATTGTCGCTGGTATGGACCAGCTGGTGGTTTCAAATGGAGTCAAGTGAACCATTGGACCACAATCATCAATCGTTTTGGACCATCATTCTAACATTTCTCAATTTCAAATGCAGTTAATGCAATCCAGATTTTGACCCATATCTCCAAATGAATCCAGATTTACTGTAGAAATGAGATCCAATATGGCTCCAGATTCAACTCCAGATTCTCCAGAAATGGGCCGCCCCACTCCTTGGCCACCGTCTTCTCGAAAGATGGAAGACCAGAGCCAGCGGAGGCCTGCAGCTCCTCGAAGAGGGCTTTCTTCACCTCAGCCTCTGTGGCCAGGACGGCCGTCTGCTCATCATCAGGGCTCTTGACGCCTTTGATGTGCTCCACCTCTGCGGTTGAGGACCGGTGAGTCATGGGGGTGAAGGCGGTGAGATGGGGACGGAAACATGTCATGGGGCCATGGGGTCACTGAAAAACGATGAGAAGCCTCTGGGAAAACACATGCCTGGCACTGGAACATCAAGATTTTTTTAAGTGATCTAAAGTGAAATCATCTAACAAAGTGATTTCGCCTTGCCAGTTCGGAGCAAGACGGCAATCAAACCTTCAGCAAAGATTGGTTGCTGGATATATCTTTAGGATCGATGTAATGAGTAGTATCACTATGTATCACTCTTTTCTGCACTATTCATGTGATTGCCCCCACTGGTCCTCAAAACCCAAAATGGCTCAAGAAAAGTGGGCTTGATGTCTGAGCTCAGCTCATCTGAGCCATGCCCTATCCTCAACACCAGCGATTGCCCCAATCCAAATTCTTGGTCGAAGTCCCCATTGCTGCTGAAGTCCATATTCCCATCCCCTAACCTACTAACCCCATGATGTCGTCCTCTACATCCACCATATTCCACCATGGGGACGCTACCCGGCCTCTTTGAGGCGTGCAATCAGCCCACAAAGGGACAACTCACTGATGGACAGGGGCGACATGTTCGACACGACGTGCCACGGTCGATGCGGAGGGTTCTGGAGCTCTTGTGCTGTGAATTTTCGGTCCACACTGTATGAAATGGAAACAAAAACAATCCCCCTCTCCATCGAGGTTCAGAGATAAAAGACTATAGTGACTTAATCCATTTTGTCATGTCCAAGGGCTGAGAATCTGAGGACAAAAATATGGATTTCTGAAGGGTCTAAAACGGACCAACCATCTGGGTTGGTAACCTCCAGAAGATTTTTGATAGCAGCAGGGCAGCTACCTGGCTGCAGATGCTGCAGCTTAGAATGGTCAGACAGATTGCAGTGCTGTGGTGGAGCTCATAGCTAGAATCGCTGACGAGTTGAGAAATTGAAATTCTGAGTTGTCATCTTTGTTTTTCAATTTTCAGAGCTGAGACAGCAGTTCCGTAACACAACTATCACTGGTTGAGCCACCTATGATGAAGTCTTTGGGGACAATCCGAGAAAACAAAACCACAGCTGAGTTCGTGGTAAAATCCCATTTTTTCAATGGAAAAAACATTGGAAGTTTCCCCGGCTGAATTTTCAGAGGGCCCCTCCAAGGATCCACCAAACTTTATGGATTCAGACCATTTCAGAACTGCCCCTGCCCGAAGATCCAGCGCGACCAGGATCTTTTTTCCGGGAGCTTTTGTCCCATTGCGCAAGTAAGGATGGAAGGATGCGGCAAAGTTGAGATGTCAGCTGCACTCTGAAATTGCGCTGTGATCCATACATTTCCGCTAGAATTCTCGCAGAAATGTTGAAAATACAATGTCTGATTTCAGTCACTATTTCAATCATTTTGCTCCCAGTAGTGACACATAATGATACCTTGATACATACCTATTTTGCATGGAACATCACCCCCAACAGCGATGTTTCAGGGGTATTGTCACTCATCAGCAGGAGAAGCTTGGAAGCCAACCAGGAGGCTTGGAGCCGCTTCCTGTGCTAACCAGTTGGCTGATTGGTGAAGAAAAAACCATTCGAAAATGGAGATTTCAGCATTGAAACATGTGAGATTTAATGGATATATCATGATATATCCAGCAAACAATGGAATAATCAGGGTTGCTCCCTGGCCACATCTGGCCACCCAGATCTGCTTGAGATTTTTTGGGGTAGAATTCAGAATGGCCCGATCAAGAGGTTATAAGAATGGAGCTGGCATCATGTTATTAGTTGGGAATTGTCGCAGGATTTTCATGGGGACTTTGAATGACGGTTTTGGGTATTGGGTTCCTGGCGCTGGCCACCCATTCCAGTCTTTCCATACTCAAAATCAGGGGCCCAACAAAGTTGAGCATGAAAACCTCGGGGATGTGTGGATGTGGCAAAAATGAACTGATCGGGCTTCAGGTGTCCATTTCATAGCCACTTCACTATACACATGTCGGAAATATGCAGCTACACTAAAACAACTTCAACGAAATGCACCCAGAAACTCAAAGCATTTCTAGTTCCATGTGGTTTGGGAAAGGATTCGCAACATTTTTCGGGATCATTTCAGATCCCATGGACATTCAAACCCGGCAGCACGGTACCCCACAATAGAGGGCTGAACCGTGCTGAACCGTCGAATCCCTTCCAGACCTATGGGGGTGCCGTTCCACTAATTTTTGTGGGTCAAAGTTGACCATAACTGTGGGGGTTCCATCTCCGAAATTATGGACCCCAAATTCCATATAACTTATGCTTATATAACCAACTTTTCCATTGATCCAAGAATATATACGGTTACCATATAATATTGTAACATATTGTAACATATTGTAATTATATCACTATAGGACTATAGTAGTCTATAATCATAAGTAAAATATTATATAATATTATATAACTATACTTGGATCTGAACATCCCATAGCTATACCATGCCATTTCCACCCATTTCCGCTAGTAGCCTCCCCGTCGAGCATAGCCATCCACCATCACATGTGGCACATCCACCTGGCAATCCATCCCCGGTGATTGGCTTGGCCACATCACACCTACCCTCTGGTTATGACTAACATAGCCATGGTATAGATGGCCCATAGATTTATAGATGGTTTACCTATATTAATAGCATGGTGATGTTCCAGTTCGCTAACTGTGAATGTCATAACCAGAGGGTACCACCTTTTTTTTGCCTTGGAAAATCTTCGAAACAGCCCACCCTTTCGCAGCACTTTTTTGTTACACCAACCTCTATCGGAGCGTGTTGTTACACCTACCGACCCAGGTCCGCCTCAGCCGGTGTTTCCTCGAAACCTGGGCGGGGTGTCGAGGATTTTCCCAGCGATTCATCTGTAAACCTCCATTTTTGCTCGGAGACTTCAAGATTTCCAGATTTCACGGTTTTATCATGTTTTATATGCTTGATGACAGCACAACGCGGGTATTGTTGGATGTTAGGATGAAAATCACCTAGAAACAAATAATATGACCAGTACATACTAGTAACATCTAGTAACTAATATAACCTCAAAGAAAGTCATTGCTTAAGGGGCAACATCCACCAAATTCCAACAACATCGAGTCGTGGGACGGCATATCACTGCCCCAAACATGCAGACAAGTTTGTGTAGAGAAATTAGAGAAAAAATATCAAGCCTGGATTAACAAAACCCCTTGATTCATGCGGGGGGTACCGGGTTTCACTTCTTGAAACTATCACTATTCTAGGGGCCACCGATTTAACATTCAACTTGACAGATCAATCCCAGTAAGAAGATAAAGAAGTGGTTCGCTTACCATACTATACACTTTCCCACTGGTTCTGCCAACACTGACTTTCCGACTGGTTCTCATTCATGTGCCATTGTTTTATCTCACTGTCACTGCAATTCCGTCCGCGATACGGCGTCATAAGTTAGTGGCCACTGCCAACCCATCATTCCACCCTTGTGGTACAAAAGGAATTCAACGGATGCTGGTATTTTCATATCCCATAGGATCCATGGTGCTGCTATATATGATTATATATGGTAACATGGATCCCATCAATATACCCCAGTCATGTTAGCATATATACCAGCACCATGGATCCTATATGATCCTATGGGTATCTCTTCATCATTTCGTTACAGTACCAATCGATGTTTTTTAAAACCCGCCATTTCGCCCATCCCAACGGGGGTTCCCCAGCAATTGGTCCATCCCGGTCCCCCGGTCCCCCGGTCCATCCCGGTCCCCCCACCCGTTCGTGCGAATAGATCATCCGTCTCCGTCTCCAACGGCACACGCGCGTGAAATGCGGGTGGCGCAAGAATTCGAGTCTTGACCTCAGCGGAAAGAACAAGTTGAGGATTTGACATGATTTGACTGATTTGACATAATTGGTGTTTTTTTCTCCAAAACATTATAGTGATTGGATTATCCATCAAAACTTGGATTTGTTTTCTCCAAAATATTGGTGAATGTTGAAAACAAATCGGATTTTGGGCCCCGAAAAATGAAAAAAAATAAAAAAACAATTGATTTGAGATAATTTAACCAAAATTAGGATGTCACCTCAAAAAAAAAAACGGAACATGTGGGAGTTAAATGGGTTCAAGCAAGCATTATATAGCAATTCACTTGGCAAAAAACAACAAAATGTGGATTTCGTATAATGTCATCAATAATGAATACGGAATAAACCTGGCAGCCATGCAAACGGACCCCCCATCACAAAGTATCATACAATGATATTCCACGACTGAACCACGGATCCTGCCACGCCAGAAGCCCCCCTAAACTCAACAAATCAACTACCCTCCAGTCATCTGACATGACATGGCGGTGGCAAAAAGAAACCCTTAGTTGAAAAAGGGAGATTGGAATCATCCCTTCGATCATCGCAGAGGATGTTCATGGATTTTCAAATGATTTTCACCCGTTCCAGCAATAACTGAATCATATTTTCATCATATTTTCATCAAATCCTCAAGTTGGCACCAAAATCAAAGACCGGTCGGCCATGGTCGGTCAGCCGGTCGGTCAGCCATGGTCAGCCCATCCTTTTCGCCAAGGCAGAGCTTTGCTGCCGACAGCTGGCGACTTGGCAGAAAGTATGGTTTTGTCTGAAAGAATGGATTCAAAAAGGACAAATTTCCTGGGCCAATTCTTCAGACAAAGCCATACCTACAGATTCAATATATATATATATGGTTTCTTCAGGCAGGCGTTTGGGTTTTCAACCATTTTTTCACCTGCTCTTTTTTCAGCCATGTCTCCATGTTCTGCTAAAAATCACAGTTCACAACCTATCCACCATGGACATCCGACCACGGACATCGATTCATCGATCCAGGAGCTTTCGCCTCGATCGATCCAGGCTACTGCGATCGGATCTGCATCCTTGGATTCTCTGATCCGGACACCATCGAGACAGCAAATCCAACACACAGCATTCAGAAATCCATAAAGAAATACCATTAAAAAAGGTACATTGCCAGGTACATCATCATAATTCATCTAAAGAATTGCAATTTTCTGAAAAATCCCAGCCGAAAAAAACCTCCATTGATAGTGGATTTCCATGGATTTCCCGATATTTTCCTATGAAATCCCAGCAATCCAGATCAACAATCCATTTTTCTACTCCAAGCATCTGAAGAATCACCATCCATTCCGTCTGCGGCGCCAGGGCCAGAATTCGAAGACAGCGGATCTTCGGGAAGGGAAGCTGAGGTGGACTGCTCACTCCCTCCTGACTGACCCTTTTTTGGACGGAGGTAGTTTTCCCGGCTGTGCCAAAAAGAGATGTGAGTCACCTTCTGGTAAACATACAAAGAACTACAGAAAATCACCATTCTTAATGGGCAAATCCACTATACATGGGCCATGTTCAATAGCTATGTTTGTTTACCAGAGGGTACAAAGATGCAACCTGATGTGCCTATATGATTTGATGCAATCATCAAGAACGGAAGCGCAAAAAAAGACGTGGTATTTCTCTGCCAGCTGGTGGTGACTATGGGTATACTTTCGCTGTGTCGCCAACATATGTTTTGGGGTTTGGTTTCCACAAGGCATAGAAGGCATAGGCACATAGACACTCTCAGCATCCACCAAAGGTCACATGCTCGAATTGTCCAAGTGCTGGGGGGGGTGGCAGCCTCTGGATCTTTCAAAGCTCATCTCTTTTTCAACACGATGCTTTCCACATTTCACCCAAAATTAAGTGCCCTTATTTTTACCACTCAAAACATGAGTCCCCCACCAGATCTCGAAACTGCAGTGTTCATCAAACCCTCGGCATGTCACGGCTCCTCCCAATAGACCGTGGTCACGCGTGAGAGCACCAGTAGATTTCTGAAGGCTCCGCAAGCTGCTTGGCCACTTGGGGCCATTTGCAGCACGCCGTTCTGCAGCAAGTCTTTGGGATGTTGGTCGTTCCCAAACTCCTCGGAACCAGGTCCAGTTTTTGGAACAGGCTGGGAAAATATCGTTAAAACCGGGGATGGTTTGCACATGTTCAAAGATCTTTAAACACCTTGATACATCTTTAAACATCTTTATATAATCATCTTGAACTTTAAACATCTTGAAACATCTTCGAACATATTCAAACTATTTCAAACTTGCAATGTGGTGCTCCCCGCCAGTGATGTTTACTGGTTAATCAGACCTCATTGACAATTAACATCAGATATATCTGCTATGCCCCTGAGTTTCTGCGATCCAGAACAAAATGGAAAAAGTATGTTACCACTGTTTTAGTCGGAATTCTCATTTACCGTTCTATCTTTTTGGGACTTGCTGAGTTGAAACTCAGCGAATTTCGCGACCGGGTTCCGCTGAAAAAACTGCCGGAGATCCACCAGGATGGCTTTGATGGGGACCTCCTTCTGAAACAAAAGCGTCAGGTGTTGATTCGCCTGAAGGTTCTTGGCCCAGAACCAGCCTTGGCATCGAAAAAACGCGCCACTTCGATGACCCAGAAATCTTCGTCAAGTGGGGTTAATAAAAAAGGAACCACCAGATGGAACCCTTGGAAACCTGGAAATGGAGGGTTTTTGTTGACATCATATATAATTATATAATCTATACCAGTCTGGAAACAGGCTATCTTTTCGGGGGTTGCTATACGTTTTGCATCGTTATACTATACGTTACAGTTACAATGATATTCTCGAGTGGGCTGGAGGAAAATGAGATATAATGAATATCGCCAAGACAGTTACCTGGCGTGTTGAAATTTGGCTCCATGGAAGCATTCCTTTCAAGTTCAAGTGGGTGAGTGGTACTTCCCGATCAGAACCCTTGCTTCTACTGAATGTGGACTCCCGTGTCCATGAGAGACTTGAGCAGGAGTCAGCGCGTCGTAAAGTCTCTTCTTAAAAAAAAATGTTGAGGAACGGTCGTTGATGAACCGATGAAAATCTGAATGACGCTACCCTCTGGTAATTTAACATAGCTATGGAAAATCACCATGCTATTAATGGGTAAATCCACTATTTCTATGGCCATTTTCAATAGCTTTTTGTATGTTTACCAGAGGGTACAGTAATACTTTAACCCAGCATCATAGGGAACCCGTCCAAGCCCAATTTGCTGGCATTCAACCCCCAACTGGTTGATACTTGGGGGATTGGCATTCTATTTTCTATATTGCACCACATTTCAATATACCATTGTACCATATTTATGCCATGTTAAACATCCCGCGTTTGATGGCTCATACCCATTTGATCGTATCTGCAACATGTTGTGACATATTCAACACGCCATTTTTGATGGTTACCCTCTGGTAAACTAACATAACAATGGAAAATCACCATTTTTAATGGGCAAATCCACTATAAATGGCCATTTTCAATAGCTATGTTAGTTTACCAGAGGGACCCTAAATTATTAAGGTGATGTTGTCTGGGAAGCCCCAAAACCTTTCATCAACTTCCCGGTCGGATCCGCCAGGCCGCATCTCTTGATCTTCTGCTTCTGGGGACTCGCGGAAAAGTCGCAGACGTCGTTCCGAGTCTGCGGGTCGCCCCCAGGAAAGTAGATGAACTGTGAGTCGTAGGTGGGGACGATGCTAAAGTTGCCTCAGAAGTCAAAAGAGCAGAAATGAGAACTACATGAATACTACCCTAAGAAGTAGGAACAACTATGAAAGGATGCTTTTACTTGATCTGGCACTGGTCCTTGGCAATCCAAGCAGAATAAAGACCTTGAACGGTGAAGGTGAACCGCTCGGAACGGAAGACATAAGTTGATTTTGAACCCACCCTAATCCGCCATCGCAAAAGAAAAAACGCAAAAAATTAGTTGCTGATTTGCCCTCTGGTAATTTAACATAATTAACCATGGAAAATATACAATCTTTACAAGTAAATCATCTAAATTGGCCATTTGCCACAGCAAACTGTAACCAATTATCAGAGGGTACCGGTAATTGCCATCCAGCCACGTGTGATGTTGGCAGGAGGGTTGTCGAAGATTGGACCTATACGAAGATGGTGGGGGGCAGGACATGGTAGAAGGTGATAACTTGAAATCGCTGGTACCATGGGTAGCGCTAGCCCAACTTGAGAAAAGACCAACCAAGAACTGGAGGATGTTGAGGTTCTTACCCTCTGGTAATTTAACATAGCTATTGAAAATGGCCATTTATAGTGGATTTTCCCATTAAAAATGGTGATTTTCCATAGTTACGTTAAATTACCAGAGGGATCCAGAGGGTAGCTACATATTAGGAACGCCGTCACGGAGAGATCCAGCAGCCCAGGGCGCCTTTGTCAAACTTCTTTTCCTGCAGGGATTGAAAGCCGCCGAGGGATCGAAAAATCCCCACCTCGCTGCCGAGGGTGAAATCCCATGTTCCCCTGGGAAACCAATGAGTGAATGAGTGGGATAGATGAGATGGATAATCTATCTATATCTATATATGTAATATATTCCATATATATATATATATTACATATCATATATATATATCGTCAATTACCAATGAGTGGGGTAGATGAGATGGTTAACCAATGTGAATCAATTCGAAAACCATCCGGGAAAAAAAAAAAACATCCTGACAGTAGGGACAAGCATCCAAAATGTTTAATAGATGTTCAAAATACTTCTTGCACATATCACGCCAACACCGCAGGCACTTGCATGTTCATCCCCCATTGAGATGGTCCCCACGGTCTTGAAGTATGCATCCATCATGGAATTCCATGTTTAAAATCGCCCACACTTCGCACACTTCGCACACTTCACTTCCAGCAGAGACCAAGGCACATGTTGAAATAACGAGCTGTGACTCTTCCAGTATTCAATCTTCTTCCCCTGTGTCATGGACAGCACCTGCACCAAAGGTGCACCAAATGATCCAAAGCTGCGACGCTGGAGCAAACCATTGGGGCACAATAGAAACGAGATCGTAGAATATCATACCCTCTGGTTATGACTAACAGTTTGCCATGGTATAGATGGCTCATAGAAATAGATGGTTTACCTATTAAACATGGTGATTTTCCATGGCTATGTTAAATAACCAGATGGTACTACTGCAATTCATCCTAGAAAACAATGAGAAGACATTCAGGTTGGGACTCGATGTAATGTCATGAATTCTGAACGAAGCAACTTTACCGCTATTGGTAGGATTCACCTTCAATCAAGATATTGTAGCCTCTCGGCTTCTCCCCCAACTTGCACGACAACAAAACTCCATGCTACAGAATAACAACCAGGCACCCATTGGCCCAGCAAAATGTCGCAAGGCATTTGATCATAGAAAAGCAGCAAGAACTGCGCCAAACGCGTCCTCTGCGACGCGTCCAAGCGTCCAAAGACGGGATGTGTTGGGGTTAATTTACCACCAAGAACCACGGTTAATGTGGGGCTCATCCACCATCCATTCCTCCAGCATGTGACCCCTAAAACCACAAAAATCTCCCGGGGACAAGCACGAAATTCCTCGCTTTTGGGTATGACATGGTACCCTTTTGGATCAAGGTTTACCCAAGTCATGTTGCAAGCTATACTCCGCTTCTGCTCAAAAACTTCCCCATCTTTTGAGGTTCTTTTGGAGCTCCTAACTGCTCCCTCTAAATCTGAAGATTGTTTACATGTTAACATGTTTACCAAGGATGAATAAATCCCGCTGTTGAAAATATGGGTGAGTTGTCAATCTTGCTATCCAATCCCTTGGAGTCCATTGGAGATGGCTTGGATATGTCATGTTGGTTACTTGGAGGATCATCCCACGAATCGTAAATGCAAAAAACGACCATGTCACTAGTTCACTCACTCATTTATAGCCCATGACGGATCCATGGTGCTGCTATATATATATGGTAACATGGATTCCATCAATATACCCCAGTCATGTTGGCTAATATATACCAGCACCATGGATCCGTCATGGGTAGCTTGGTTCACTCACTTGTATCGGGGACGTAGCCTGATCACCAGGCTTCTGTGAAAACCAGTTGGGCGATTTGGTACACCCACATGACCATTAAGAATGCCCTGAGTTGATTGGTTCAATGGATTGGTTTGTTGGGGAAAATCTTAACCGGAAACCATAGATTTTCCCATTAAATATGGGGCTTTCCTGTAATTTTTCCCTTAAACCAATCCATTGATTGGTCATTGGGAGCTATACACAGTTATACTACCAAGTCATTGGACATTTTGTTGCCATAGAATAGCCATAGTAGGGAAACCCTTTTCAAGCAACTAGCATTTTAACTGGTTGGTGGTATACCAACCCCTCTGAAAAATATGACTTGGTCAGTTGGGATGATGAAATTCCCAATAGTATGGAAAGTCATAAAAGCCATGTTCCAAACCACCAAACAGTCATGATATTGAATAAATGTATCATTTCAATTAATCATCCATTTTTAAGGATCATCCATCCATTTTCATATCATTTTTCATGGGAAAATCCAGGATTTTCCGGCACTTTTGGGGCTTTCCGCCAAGTTTCAGCTCATTGGACTGAAACATCTTTCCGATGAAGCCCAGCTGACTGAAGTCGATGAGCCGCCAGGGGGCGTTCTCTTTGGACCGGTACGTGGGAGGAAACGAACTCGTCAAATAGCCTGCCGAAATCACCACTGGCATGGAAAATGGCCCATTTATAGATGATTTACCTATAAAAAATGGTGATTTTCCATGGCTATGTTAAATAAGCAGATGGTTATATGATGGGATTGTAACCTATTATAACATATTTATATGAACTATATATATATATATCTGGTTGGTGGTTGGTATGCCTACCCCTCTGAAAAATGATGGACTTGGTCAGTTGGGATTATTCCCAATATATGGAAAAAAATGTTCCAAACCACCAACCAGATGTTGATGTTTAATGTTGTTGGTGGTTTCAATTCCTCTGAAAAGTATTAGTCAGTTGGGATGATGACATTCCCAATATATGGAAAAAAATGTTCCAAACCACCAACCAGCACCACATCAATGGGCTGCAGTTCAGGATGTTCAGGGCAAAACCGGGGCAAAAACCATGGTTTTTGGGGAAAATGTTATACACCCCTATGAGTTGGGATATGACTTAACCCCTATAGATCCCTATAATGTCTATAACTATAAGTATATGATTATATATTCACTTTTATACCACCATAACTGCTGCTGCACTTCCCAGCAGTCATTGGTTCCATGGCTTGGCTCAAGGATGTTCAAGGGAAGCTTTCTGGACACTGCACACCATTGATGGGTGTCCTCCAAAATTACCCACCAATTCTGGCATGGGAAATGGGAAATGGGAAACCCAACAACTCAGCTGAAATCGAACATGGGTGGTTTTTGACATGGAAAATCTCCCGTGTACTTCGACGATGCTACCATAAACACCTCCATTTATAGATGATATGTCTGACACGTTCCAATTTAAAACCCATTATAAATCACCATGTTCCTTGGGAAAATAATCCATTTCAATAGCCGCAACCATCCCATTGAGAAGCTGGGGATTCCATCGAATCATATGAAGCCACCAAATATAAACAGTTTTATGGGTATATACCTCTGGTTATTTAATCTACTAGTGGCTATGGAAGCCATGGCATATTAGAAATACATAGAAATACATGATCAAAGTGATGTTTACATATTGTTTTGATGCTGATTATCCATAGCTATCTTAAATAACCAAGAAGGGTAAATCATGTAAATCCCCTGGATTGATTGATAATGGCACACCCGGCCTGTGATCTTTGAGATCCAGTTGGGTGCAAAGTTGATGTCATCCTCAAGCTGCAGATAATAGGGCGCCAAGGGCGCCGCGTAGTACCTTAGGGAGTTCTTCTGCTACCATCTGGTTATGACTAACATAGCCATGGAAAATCACCATGCTATTAATAGGTAAACCATGGTAAACCATCTATTTCTATGGGCCATTTTCTATGGCTATGTTAAATAACCAGAGGTATAAAGTTTTCCAAACAAATAAATCACACTCCCCTCAATTAACATAGGCCCTAAATGTAGTTTCCCGGAAAATAGAACACAAAATAAGCATAGACCATTGGGATGGAACTCAAATCAAACGACTCAGTTTTGTGGGATGGAATGGCAAGCGCGTTTCTCGGGTAACGTAGTTCGTGGCCCGAGCAGCATGAGGAAGGCGTAGTCCACATTCTGCTTGGAGCGCCACTTCACTCGCTTTGGCTCATCCTTGTAGTTGCAGTCTGGAGGGCACACCTCCAGCGGTGGATAGAATTCCTGGCGCTGAGGAAGTCAGTTAAGCATTGGTCGAAGATTGAAAGCAGTCCAAGACCATCTTCAGATGCTGTTAGGCCTACTTGGGACACCCAAACCACCTAGTGTCTATTACTGTCTGATGCGAATATCATACATCGTTTAGTGACCTCTCGCAATTTCTGGATCCCATGTTGAATCTTTCTTACACTTTGTCAATGGCTGGGTATCATCCCAGGACCCATGAGATCCACCATGAGATCCACCATCCTAATCATCGTGGATTCGTGGATCTCCAGCTATTTCCAGCTCCTGTTTGGCGTGGATGCCATGAAACTGTCCCCCTTGAATCAACTCACCATACTGTTCTTGCAACTTCTGCGAGATGTGATCCACCCATGACCTGAAGTCAGTGGCGAAATGGGCGCCACTCAGTGGTCACAGCGCGTTAGCATTGAAAAGGGGAAGAGACAAAGAAAAGTCTCACATGTTCTATTTTTGTGGCTGCATGATGCTGCATGCTTACCCTCCCGGAAATTTGACATCGATGATTTTCCCAGCTACAAACCTCCATGGCTAGGCCACGGGGATGTCGCCCCTGGCCACCTTTGATACCGTCGAGCAACAGATTGAAGTCGGCGAAATGCGCCACGATGACCACCTGCGTCTCAAAATGGGGCTCCCCAAATGGTTTAAAGAGGACAATGATCAGGGGATATCAGGGGAATGGGGTACCGCATTTTGGTATTCGATTTGTTTTTCTTTAAAAAGCAGGGAAGACCTCAACAAAGTTGAAGTTGAATCCAGTGTTCGGACCAAAAGGCCAACATCAAGCAAGATCGATGGAAATTCATGGCACGGGTATGTTACCAAATAACCTACTGCAATGAGCAAAAAACGATCTTAGTGCTGGCATGAAGACCATTGCGAAGTTGCTGAGGTTTTAGGGGCTCCAACTGCGAACATTTATCAAGTGCTCAAGCACCAGTGCTTCGTTTACTTAGAACATCCAAGGCCCGTGATTTCTTGTTGCTGAGGTTTCCAACGGTTCGCCCTACTGAGCCAAGAGGTGCAAACAATTCTGTGGGGCAAAAATTGTGCCCAAGTTGGAAAGAGGCAACGGAAATGAATCAAGGTGTCCTAGTTTCAATGACAAATCTGCAGCATTCGTTGATGTGAAAAAAACACAGTTTTCGCAGTAAGTTCGTCATGATTTCATTTTTTTTCTTTTGCAACCCTCATCCCACAGATTTTTTCCCAAAACATATCGCGCAAAGGGGGGATTGGAACTCGTCTTTTCTTGGAGAAATGGCGAATTCTCAGGGTAAAATATGGTCAAAGCTTTCATCTGGGAGATGTAGCATTCCCATCCCATCTCAAGAGCCCCCCTCCGTGTGATTTTCGAGGATTTTATATAACCACGGTATATCAATCCCCCATCTTCCATGGATTTACAATAACCCCCTATAACATCCTATGGCGATATGGAGGTTTCCTGAAATTATGATGGGTGCCCCAAATTCTCATCGTCTCATCCATTTTCATCAGATGTTCAACAGATTTTCCATTCAAAAACCATCCATTTTGGATACCCTCTGGTAAACTAACATAGCTATTGAAAATGGCCATTTATAGTGGATTTACCCATTAAAAATAGTGATTTTCCATAGCTATGTTAGTTTACCAGAGGGTAACCGAACTGATGGACCCCTTTACCAGATGGTATTTTGGGGCACCTTGGATCGCTCCTCAGCGTCCACCGGCACTTCGCCCCGCAGACCCATCATGATGCCCACCGTGTCCTGAAAAAGGAAACGTGGCCATAATATGCCATAATGTGTGTTTATAACCCATAGGATCCATGTATGGTATATATGCTAACATTTGGGGTATATTGATGGTAAATGTTACCATATATAGCATACATGGATCCTATGGGTAATGGTTAATAATATTCAATTCCTCATGGCTAATCATGGTTTACCACATGAATGTGTTTGATAACCAACAGAGGTGGGTGCTTTCTTAAGCACCAAAAAGCATCAACTAGAGGGATTGATAAAGGGACTTAATGGGAGTCAAATGGGATCTATAATCAACTTACCCTCTGGTAATTTAACATAGCTACTGAAAATGGCCATTTATAGTGAGTTTTCCCATTAAAAATGGTGATTTTCCATAGTTATGTTAGTTTACCAGAGGGTAATGTGGGCAAAAAAATGCCATCAACCTACCATGACGGTGGTAGTTTCAAACCGTTTGAAACGTAATCATCATGTGGTGTGTAGGACCACCAACCAGGTTATCTTCACCAGTGTCATCATTTTTTTTGTCACGAATCACGAATCTACTTTCTTACCATCCTTATGATTTATGATTCATCACCGCCATCATTTATACGTAGCACTATGATTTCTATCCCTACCAACACAATCATTACCAGCTGGTAACTAATTATAGATATTATACCCTCTGGTAAATTAACATAACTGTTGAAAATGGATGAAAATGGCCCAGTTGAAATAGTGGATTTTCCCATTAAAAATTGTGATTTGTCCATTAAAAATGGTGATGTACCCATTAAAAATGGTGATGTACCCATTAAAAATGGTGATTTTCCCATCAAAAATGGTGGATCTTTCCATCCATTTTCCCTCACGTTTTACCACCGTTACCAACCAAGGCTCCAGGACGTAGTCCTTCTGCCGCTTCACCGAGCCAAAGCCCACCGTCAGCAGCACCGTGGGCGGCACCTGGGACACGTCGCCGAAGAAGCGCAGATCGGAGCGCGGCACGCTGAAGAGCGAGGACTCGCGCGAGAGCTGCCGGGACCCTGGAGCTCGATTGGAGATTGGAAACACCACAAGTTGTGGATGTTTCCTAACATGGGGGGTACCCTGAAATTTGGATGGTTTATAATGGTATATCCTATGAAAATGGATGGTTTATAATGGTTACCCTTCTGGTGTTTGCGAACAGTTTGCGAACTGGAAAATGACCATCTTTTAAACCGGTAAATCAACGAACGAAATGGGCCATGGCTTCAATAGCGTATGTCAAATTACCGGAGGGGGTATACATTTAGTCGGACCAGCACAAAATCTCTGTAGCAATATGTTAAAATCACGACGATATTTGAAACCACCAACAATCGCCATTGAGCAATCTCCAATTAAGTGTTGGATCCCCATTTTTGAGTTGGTCTTGCGGTACCATTTTTTGAAAAAAAAGGCAATCTAGGCATATCATGGCTATCATGGCATATCTACATCTTCGCAAGCGAAACCTCGAGCCATTGGCTCGAGCCATTGGTTGCTTCAACTGGGTCTAAACCATGGCAACTCCCCATGAGGACCATCCCAGAAACCCAGTTCTGATCCAACTCTGGTTGGTGGTTGAGCCTACCCCTCTGAAAAATATGAAAATCAGTTGGGATGATTATTCCCAACATATTGGAAAATAAAAAATATTCCAAACCACCAACCGGAGCTTGACTATGGCACATGTAATTCCATATATAAAATCCATTTTCACACCGCCATAGATCATTTCATTCAACCCCGAATGAACTCTCCGTGAATCAAATAATCCTTCTCCCTAATACCCTCTGGTTATGACTAACATAGCCATGGAAGCCATGGCCCATAGATTTATAGATGGTTTACCTATTAATAGCATGGTGATTTTCCAGTTCGCTAACTGTGAATGTCATAACCAGAGAGTACTAAACCGTTCCCCCCAATATCCACCCTCCACGCCATGTTTTCCTCGCGCCTAGCCCAGCATCCCTGGAACTCTGCGACCAGTTCCCCCACGCCGGGGGCGCCACTTCCAGCGGAGGTGACGGGGTGTCTGCCGGAAGCGCGGGAGGTGCAGAGGCACGGGAGGCCCGTTGCAAGCTCTCCTGCTCCGAAAAAAATTGGATCCGTGCTTCATAACCATAGTATAACCCATTTGCATATGGTTCATAATTATATATATATGTGTGTGTGTATGTAATAACTATGTATCTATATCTAGATAGGTGCACACACACAAATATATATTATATATATGATATAGATTGATATAGTCTAGTATATATCCGGGTTGAAGCAAAGGGGAAGACCTTCAGCACAAACATTTTATCAGTACAGAACCCCGGCCCTAGCCTGGATTGTTGCAAGCAAATCCAGGGTCAAATATGACGTTGCATCTATGGCTGCTACAAAATGAACTGCCCAACATCAGAAAACAATGCGAAACATGTTTTACATGTTTTTACTAGATCATTGTGGAGCTGTTCAATCTTTCCATTCCAAAAAGAGCAGGGACAAAATGTTCTTCCAGCCTAACAATAACTTCAAAACCACCCTCAAAAAAAAGCTACATTGCTACAAAATGAATTGCCCTGACTGCACAGGCCCAAAACCTAAAGGAACATCATTGCAACATCTCATGCCCCAAAAACTCTCGCAATCCAATTTTGTTGGTCATTTCCAATTTTGCTAACAGCATCTAACAGCTATTTCACTCATCAACCTGCCCAAGCTGCCCAACTTGCCCCCCTATATGCTGCTCCTGCAACCTGCTAATTTCCGCCTCAAGTGCTTGGATTTGCTCCCCCGTGCCATCTTTACCATCCTCTGCCGTCGCCACGGTCACGACGCGTTGCGTGACGCGCATGGCCGTCCAATGCAACAGCATGAGGTTCCTGAGACATCTTCGGTGCGAAGAGCTGCCAGCAAAATGGTTGGTTGGTCGGTCGGTTGGTCGGTTGGTTGGTCGGTTGGTTGGTCGGTTGGTTCGATGGTGCCTTATATAGGCCTCATATGTGGTAGGTACCTCCAATTTAGGTTCCTGAAATGGCCATTGATTGGTTGGTTGGTTGGAAGACCTGATTGGGTCAGGCCGGGACATTTGGGGCCAGTTTTTTTGTGGGAAATCTCACCATTTGCAAGCTGTCCCAGCTAGTAGGCATCGCAGAGTGGAGATGAGGTATCACTGTGTCACCTGTAAATGTGAGGATAGAAAACAAAAAGACTTGAGAATGACACCTAGACATGGCAATTTTGATGGTAAAACCATCTCCCAAACTTTGATCTCAAATAGTCCATCCACTAGTCTAGATACATTGATACATGGTCTTTTTCATGCCTAGATAGATCTGCTTTGCCATCGCCTCCAAACATGAAATCCACTTTTTGAGATGCAAATTTCCCCCCACAGCAGGGGGGCCAAGAAACCCTGTTCATTTGATGTACATCTGCCATTTGTGCATGGCCACATCTTGACTTACAAATGAAAATCGTATCAATGTCCATCAGTATTACCACTGACAATGTTGAAGCGTGTACCAATTACATGACTTCATTAGGTGTCAGGGTATGGTTCAAAACTGGGAATCCCCAAATGCTGGATGCCATCTGCTAAATTCTCAGTTTGCTGTGGACATTAACAGATACATCATCATAAATCATCTCCATGGTCCATAGCTACCCGGCAAGCAAACATGGCAATAGAAAATCCATCATTTACGGATGATTTTCCAATTTTTTGATGATTGTATTGAATTTTTCCAGCTCAGCTGATGATACCAGAGGTTTCCAACCCCAAAAAGACCCCAAAAAGGCATCTTTTTGTGTCCAAAAAAGTGCTGGATTTTTTCAATTTTTTTTTCGGTGCAAAGCTCAAAGCTCGCCCCCTACTGTGAAAAACACCCCCAGAAACCATGGCTTTTGTTGAGAATTTCCATATACCCTCTGGTTATGACTAACATAGCCATGGAAAATCACCATTTTTAATAGGTAAACCCAGGTAAACCATCTATAAATGGGCCATTTTCCATGGCTATGTTAAATAACCAGAGGGTAATATCATTGTACAATTGGGATCATTCATATAAGGGGCGTTTAGTACGAACGGGGGATGGGAGTAACGGACTGTCTTCGGTCATCAGCATTTGGGTGGTATGTAGAAATCCCATCCCCAGCCCAGGGCTAGTTGTAAGAATGGCAGCCCAGGTTTCTCACATTCACAATCATCAATAGGTTGTATAATAGCAATTCATAACCATCAATGACTGGATGACTGGTTGGTGGTTTGAACCCCTCTGAAAAATATGAAGGTCAGTTGGGATGATTATTCCCAATATATGGGAAAATAAAAAATGTTCCAAACCACCAACCAGATGACCATCAATGATCATGACCATGAATAACTCTTCTTGGGTCATGGCCATTAATAACCATGGACTAACTATTATTCAAGGGGGGGGTACCCTAAATCATCCAGCTATTGGGATTTCCCATGAAATAAACCATCCAGCTATTGGGGATCCCCCATTTACCCTCTGGTAATTTAACATAACTATGGAAAATCACAATTTTTCATAGGAAAATCCACTATAAATGGCCATTTTCAATAGCTTTTTGTATGTTTACCAGAGGGTAAACATCCATGTTCCTATGGTTTTCCCATGGTTTTCCCATTAAAACCTCCATTTTCCTATGGTTTGAGGGTAAACCCCCAAGATCCCATTCTTCACATCACCGAGCAGCTGCAGCAAGACTAAGGTCCCAGCGCAGCACAGCAACCTTCGCAGCAGCCAGGGACTGGCACCGCCGCGGGGGCTGGCGCGTTCCGCGCGTTCCGCGACACGCTCCATGGCGAGGCATTGCGAAGGTTCGAGTCCCTCGGGTCGCGTGTTTATGGCACCGTTCAACGGTTGAGATTGGATGGAATATGGCGGGTTTCACCGGAGAAAATGGAGATGTCACCATCAAAAATTGGGATTTCAAGCATGGAAAATGGTGGTCTAACCATTGAAAATGGAGATGGATGGAGATGGGATATAGTGGGTATATAATCGGGATATAAAATCGGGATATAATGGGATAAGGCTCACCAACTTACTATGATAAAAGAGGGTGTCTGAAAATGGTGCGCACCAGGGATCACTTGAAAAAGAAGACAATTGCGATATTGGATTTTTTGTATGCCTCATAGAATTGGATGATGGGAAAATTTACAGGAAAGCCTTATATTTGATGGTAAAAACCATGGTTTCCTGTAGATTTTCCCTTCAACCAATCCATTGAATGCCCTATTTTTCAGACAAAGCCATATGACAATTGGAGCCGAAAACACCTCATGAGGCCAACATGCATGGAATTTTCAAACCATTCAGCTGGCAAAAATGGGGCCACTCTGGGAATGTGTTCTTGAGAGGCCAGAGGCTTGGCTGGGTATGGTTAACCCCTGGTATAATTTGAACATAGCTAGGGAAAAGTGCCGTAGATGATTTAGCTATTGAAATGGTGATGTTCAATAGCTATGTTCAATTACCAGATCCAGGATGGTATCTGATTGTTCCATCCCGGAACCAAAAATATCCATCTTGATGAATGAAAACATCCTTGGCGAATGCCGCGGCATTAGATCCAAGACTTTCACCCCTTTTTGAGTGACGAATAGCCTATCCGGCTATCCCTATCCGATTATCATCGATGATCCCTGTCAGATCGAGCCAACTAAAACAGAACTGGAGTCCCATCTGGATTTGTTCATATATTTTTTCCATGCTATCCATGCTAATGTTGTTCAACGCGCACGCTGTTTCAACACTGGATCAGGCCCCTGGCAGTTTGGAGCGCTGGCTGTTCCTGTTCTGAGAATTCCTCACGGCATGGGGTCGCTTCCAACCCAGATTTATGCGGATGGGAAAACCATGGCTGAGACCCATGGTTTTCCCCAAAGTTTGATCCTACAAGTTCTACAAAGCCACCAAAATGAATGTGGTACCCTCTGGTAAACTAACATAGCTATTGGAAATGGTCATTTATAGTGGATTTACCCAGTAAAAATAGTGATTTTCCGTAGCTATGTTAAATTACCAGAGGGTACGTGAAAACATTACAAACCGATGATTTTCCCACATGTTTCCCAAGGCATGTCCATGCATCTCCCGGTGCAATGGTAAATATTGAAATATGGAAAATTACATCTGGGTAGATGCTGTATACAAACCTTCAAAATCCTTCAACTCAAAAACCTCCCAAAACATGTCCTGGGAGAGTTTTCAGCGGCGTCGTGACGTGACAAGCTGAACGTTGGCAGCAGGACAACCAAACAAAAATCAGCAGATCTACTTAAGATTTACCGTCCGGTAATCAAACATGGCTGAAAAATCCCCCATTCAATGATTTCTCTAGCTATAAACCCCCATTTAGTTCGGGGATTTCATGATTTTTCATGATTTCTCCATGTCGGATCATCCGGATCCCCAATTGTCCACTTCCTGTGTCAGGTCATCATCAGAGCTATCCCCTCAGATCCGCAGATGACGGACCCAGTCTGGCGTGCTCCAACAAAATCTGCCAAGAAACCATGGATTCTCCAGGAACTCCAAGCAACAATCCAAACATGGTTCTCATTCCAACATTTTTCCAACATGTTCCAACCATGGGTTGTTGTTGCTGCTCCATGTTGAAGGGAACAGCCAAGGAACCAGTTGGGATAAACGGGATAAACCGGCACGAACCCCAACCCAAAATTTCATGGCTTCCACGGCAAATTTGGGGGACCCCGGGACCCCCGGGACTGAGCCACTGTGAATTTGGAAAACCACTACCCAAATTTCTGAAGGAACCACCTCAACTTGTAGTGATTCCGGCTAAGAAAGTTGCAAGCGCAAGGGTGTTGGGATTGGAATTGGTTCGATGAACCACATCTCATTCTTATCTTATAGCTACCTCTTATCTCTTCTCACCATTGGTGGGTAGCCACGCCCATGAAGCTCAGTGGTACCCAAAAGAGAATCATTCACCGTTAACCAACATCATTTTCAGCAGTGGATTTCCAGCTCCCCACCCTTTTTAACCAGCAACACGACCCATGGATGACCAGGGCACTTCGTAGGTGTAGCACCTCGGCCACAGCCAGGACTTCAACGTGCCGGTTGGCATGCCAAGATCACATAAAATCATATAAAATCACCAGATATCTAAACCCATCAATATAGATAGATAGATAGATTAGATTAGATTAGGTTAGATTAGATTAGATTAGATTTAGATTTAGATTAGATTAGATTTAGATTAGATTAGATTAGATAGATAGGGATAGATAGGGATAGATAGGGAGAGATAGGGAGAGATAGGGATAGATAGATAGGGGTAGATAGGGATAGATAGGGATAGATAGGGATAGATAGGAATAGGTAGGAATAGATAGGATAAGATAGGATAAAATTAGATAAAATTAGATAAGATTAGATAAGATTAGATAAGATTAGATGGAATTACAAACTTCAGAGTTCCATGTTCCATGAGTGCCATCAGGCCCCCATACTCCAGTGGGTGGCTGCAGTGCCGTCGCCAACGCACCCAGCACCGGGGCAACTCCTGGAACTGGAACGCACCGGGGGTTCCCGGGCTTCCCATCCCTGGTGTCATCTGGTTGGTGGTTATAATACCAATAATAGTGATTACCCTCTGGTAAACAAACATAGCTATGGAAAATCACCATGTTTGATGGGAAAATCCACTATAAATGACCATTTTCAATAGCTATGTTAAATTACCAGAGGGTATATATGGTGATATGATGGGATTGTAACATATTATAACATATTTATATGAACTATATATATCTGGTTGGTGGTTGAGCCTACCCCTCTGAAAAATGATGGAGTTGGTCAGTTGGGATGATGACATTCCCAACTGAATGGAAAAATACAAAAAATGTTCCAAACCACTAACCAGTCATTGTTACTTGGCTGTAGGGAATCGCTGTTTCATGCACCAGGCTCAGATCGTCGTGTGAATCGCTATGTTGCTTCTGATTCTAATTTTTCGCTGGTCATCCACGCTGGTAGGTGAATCTATGAATTACATGCCTTCTCCCAAGTTTTTGTGGTTGAAGATCCTGGAATTGACTCTCTCTCTCTCTCTCTCTCTGCAGAGCATAGCCGGGCGAATAAAGATGTTCCTACTAGCACCCTCCACCAAAAAAAAGAGATAAAAGTCAAATCCAATACTGGGTGGTAATGTTTAAACTATCTTCAAATAGTGTTTGTTTCTCTCGTTTTTGGGGAGACGCTGTGCTTCGAAATCCCTTGACCCGTGCCTGGTCGGGGATCTTCCGTCTCAGAATCCGTGAGCCTCAACTCTCCGGTATTTCGTACAAGTTTTCAACTGGAAAACCATTGTTTTTTAGGGGAAACAGATGGAAACATAATATATATATATATCATCTATAAATTGGAAACATCATAAATCATCTATACATTGGAAACATCATAAATCATCTATAAATTGGAAACATAATAAATCATCTATAAATTGGCCATGGTCCATAGCTATGCTGCAATACTAAATTACCAGAGGGTAGAAAAGTGCGGAACTTGTAATTTAATATATAAATCTATGGAAACCATGGCCCATCATGGCCCATTTAGTTCGATGATTTACCTTGCCTTTAATATGGTGATGTTCCATACCAAACTGTTACATTCCCAGTTCTTGATGAACATCGTTGGAAGTCTGGCCACGAACATCACCATCACTTCTGCGCAATCTACCATGCACTTCAGGCTCTGGAGGAGCACTTGTCAAAGTCAAGTGTCCAATCAGGCAGATTTGGCGGCCCCACCTCATACTCTTAATCAGGGGCTACAAGTTGGTTCCCAATGAGCTTAGGACTTCAGTTTGATACCAGCTACTCTTGATGAACTCAGTTCCAACTCCATAAAAATCATCGAACATATGTATAACATCTCTACATATCCCTCGACTCACTGGCTAAGGGTTAACGATCATTTGCCTTAAATTGAATATACCCCATTTCCAGACACACACCCAATCTTGTCTAAACATGTCGTAACAAGAAGTGCTATATTTATCTACATTCTATTAACATGCCTCCGAAATTTTGATAAACATCCGTGTATATTTATATATATATACATATCCGTGTATATATATATATATACGTGTGTGTGTGTGTTTGTGTATATGCATATGTTTAAAAAAATAAAACATGTTATACGTCATAGTATATTATGCAATTGTAATATCCGACAAACATACCGTCTCCGGTACCCCAGCCCTTGGCTCCCAGACTCCGGTAGCATGGCCCTGGGTCCGGGAGGGGATGGCGTGGCCGTCAAACCCTCCTCGCGGATGGTGGGTAAAGGCTGCACCAAAGGCCTTGGAAGGAGCCGGTTTTGTGGAGGGCTTAGGCTGATCTGCCGGGGATTTAGTGGGGTTGAAACATGGTTTCAGCGAGAAAAAATAATGATTCAATGGGATTTCGTGGTCGTTGAATGGGATTGAAGGAAGTTAAGATGGAAATGTGATATAGTGATATCAGCGATATCATCATTGATCTCAAGTTGTCACATTAAACTGGGGATTTGGAGTTTAGCGGAGATGCACAGGGCTTATTCATTATGATCATCATGGTTTACCCCCATAGGTAAATTGATTAATAATTATGATGGTAAACCATGATGACTATCATGGTAAATCATTGATTATTCATCATGGTAAATGATTAAATGATATGAAATGTTCTTATGATGCTGATGTTTTTGGGAAATTTTGCGGCGCCTCCTGTCAGCCCCATGCACTGCAGCAGGATTCAGGGCAGCGACCCCCTGGAAGGATTGGATCCGAGGCTGTGGCCCCACCAAAGGAATGAAAGTGAAATGGAGTCCAGGTAGGCCTTGGGACGGTCGACTGAGATGTCGACTGTGATTCCAACTGTGATTCCAACTGCCCAAAAAACCACTTGAAGAATGAAGGAAATCCATGGAAATCCAATTCAAGGAGAGAGACGTGCCAATTCAGCCCCTGATTCTTGGCACTTGGCTGAAGAAGGACAGAACTGCACAGGTGCTTTACGAAAAGGCCGTAGGCTAGTAGGGTCTCGGTCCCTGGGAGCCCCCCCAAAAAAACCTCAGGTGTTGATCAGTGCTTGTACTGGAGATCCATTCTCTATAAGGTGGGCCTGCAAATCATAGCCAAGTTGGTTTCTTAAGTAGGTTCGGTATTTGGTTTGTAGAAGATATATCTATAATTATTATCTACACTTATAATTATATAATGATCTATGATCTATGCTTATATTATATAATCAAATTTAAAAACACATGAAAAAAAAACACAAACACAACTGGCAGGCACCAACTTGCAGGAGTCAACACTCCAAAAAGGCGACCCCCTCGAGGAGCTTGGTGGTTCCAATCCCTACAGCCACTTTGTTAGCTTCCAGTAAACTCACATAACGTCACATAACATTTTGAAAATGGACCACTCATAGATGATTTACTTATTAAGTGATTATCCATGATTGTCCATGATTACCCTCTGGTAAACTAACATAACTATGGAAAATCACCATTTTTCATGGGAAAATCCACTATTTCTATGGCCATTTTCCATCGCAAACTGTTAGTTTCCGAAGTTGGGATCCGGAGGCTGAACGAAATTTCCGAGCACCAGGACCGGACTCAGAGCCCGAAACAAGCCTCGTCGTCTGGTGAAAACATGTTGGCAGATGGGGGAAACCTGGGGAAACCCATAGGAAAATGGAGGTTTTAATGGGAAAACCATAGGAAAACCCATAGGAAAATGGATGTTAACCCTCTGGAAAACGTTTACATTTTGCGATGGAAAATGGCCCAGTCGAAATAGTTGATTATAGTTGATTTACCCATTAAAATGGTGATGTTTCATAGCAAAATGTTAGTTTACCAGAGGCTAGTTGACAAGGGCCCAGGTGAATTTTTCAACATTGCACCAGCAAGTTTGAGTTGCTAGGGGTAGCCCGGAACAAGGCGCAAGACTCAAGTAGATACCTTCTGGTGGCGACCTGATGGAAGTATCCCATGAATTCCTAAATATATATATATATATCCCATGAGATGTATGTATATATATATATGTGTGTGTATATGTGTGTGTATGTATATATATATATATATATTTAAGGAAAAAAACACTAGTTGGTGATATCCCCACTGAATCACTCATTGGATTTTGGTTTAAGGGAAAATGATTAAATGTTCCAAAATTCAAAACCCTATTATTCCAGTCCATGAAATTACCATGATATCACCATGAAATCACCTTTTCCAACACCTCCCCTGGCTGCCGCACCTTGAATTGCGATCGCTTGGTCGCTTCACTGTGAGCCTAGGTTTTTGGGCAGAAAAACCGGGTGAAACCGGGTGAAGCCGGGTGAAACCCTGGTTTTAGGCGTCTACAAAAGCTGGTTTTATGGATTAACATGGGTGATGATCATTGATTTTTCGAAGGATCTGTATCCCCGCTTTACTGAGGAGATCAGATATAAATGGCCGAGATTCATTGAATGTTTCCTGTCCAGTGTAGTTTTTTAAGGGGAAATGCCGAGATTCTAGCAGCGGCCAAAACTGTGAAATCGGTAGTTCGACAATGGTCTAAATCATTACAGTAACCCTGAAGAATGAAATCACGGACTGTATATCATCACCCCATGTTCGCAGGAACTTGCAGATATCCTCAATCAAAGATGGCAATGGAAAAACCCCCTTTTTTTTCACAATGTTCCCATTTTGATGCCAACTTATATATTATCTGGGATTTCCCATGGTTATGTTTGATTATTGAAGGGTATGGGTATCAGGTCAAATCCTGCCATGGCTGCCGCCCTGCGAAGCCGCACGTGTCGCTGGGGCTTAATTCCTTAGTTGCCGAAGCCACCAAGGAAGCCAAGGAAACTAATGAAGGTTGAAGATCTTCAAAAGCATGTGCCCAGCATAGATGTAATCTGTAAGATGTTGATTTCGTTAGGAGATTCTCTTCACCCTTTCAAACATTCAGATGCGCTCTTGCCAAGGAATGAAAGAACCTCTTGGGGATGAAAACATCTGGGCCGAATCCGTGTCCACGGATCTCCTACTGGCTCTCAGGTATCAGATTTACGAGATTTTGCGGGCATGAGCTTCCCAGCTGGACATCTCCTGCATGGTACCAAACAACAAACCCACAGCAGTACAAAACCTGCAAGAGAGGAGCCCTAACTCCCAATCTGGACCCACGTTTAACCCCAAACAGAGGATTTTCCTATTCAAAAGAATTATCCATGTCAGAAGTATTTCCTACAAATATAAGATGTGTCCCAACCTGGATCCAGTCAAACAGGTGACGCAACCAATCATGATGACCAAGGATCAGCAGAGTGTGGATATGGCTCAGAAGTGAGGCATGAAAAAGGGCGTCCCGTAGATCTGGGTCATATCCATCCACTATATCTCCATCAAACAGCATTTTATGCCCTGTCATCATCATGTTCTACACCCATTAAACACCCGTGATATACCGTAATACCACCAGTATACTCATTATATACGTATAAAATCCGTCATTTGCCACGCATAGCCATGCCATCGACCCCATTCCTTCTGCCGCCAAAACGCTCGCTCATCATGGGCGGTCACCATGGTGCTGTAATTCAACACCACGCCGGCGTGACTCAGCACCTTCGGAGGCCCCAAAGCAACTCCAATGGTCAGAGGAAAGCCGCCAGAGCTGGAGAAACTCTCCCAAAAGGCTCCAAGAGACCATCGAAAACATCAGAAATCAAGAAAGAACTGGTTGGCACTCTTAATTCACCATGCCATTTCCATTTCTCTTAGTTCACCCATCCAAAAAAAAAAACTGCTCTTCATCTCAACCAATCATCATTCATCATCCACTGATGAAAAACTGACTGAAACCACCTCCAAAAATCATCCACAAAATCCATCTGGGGAACCTAAAAATTGGTGCCTTGGGATGGTCGTGTCTTTTCACCGAAATCATAAAAATCGCAAGGACACAAATCTTCCGTCCACTGCCGCCCGATCCTAAGATTTCAGGGTTTTTTCGATGTTTTTGTTGAGGTTCCTCGATGTTTTTTCGGATTTCCCCATGTCGGGACACACCCACAAACATCTCCACGGGTATTTTCAAGCAGACACAACCTCCCTGGTCACCGAGGCTTCCACTCGCAAGCGGAAACGCCAATCCTCTGGTTCAGCCATCAACCTTTGGGGTCGCGTTGGAGGCCGATCTATCCCTTGGGAATGGCATACAGTATATGTCACACCCTCCGGCAATCAAACGTGTCAATGGGAAATGACCAGGGCAAATATTGAGTGTGGCCGAATCAACCAGTTGTTTTGGTGCAGTATTTGGAGCACTTCTCTTGTGCTTTTCCAACATTCCAGTACCGTGGTATTTGTTGGTTTGGTGTCTCAGTGTTGTCTCCGTCAATGCAGCCTCACGTTCCATGTACTGAATCGACTTTTCCCCCACAATCGCAGTGGGAGGTCCCAGTTTGTGCATCCGAGTGCAATGATAGAAGCAGGAATAGGATGAGAAACTTGAGTATCATATATTATCCTGAGATGCTTGGGAATGTGAACATGCCGGATGAGGCGTCTTGGGAGGAACAAGGCGGGCCCCGGTCCGCTTTCAACTCCCAGTCCGGTGAAATGATCAAATCTCCTCATTTTTTGGCTCAAAATCATGCCTCAATCATCCTGGATAGACTAGAATTTACTTCACCGGAAGTTCCCCCCAATTACAGTAATTACCTTGGGTTGACTTACCGAAATATCATCCATCCAACTAAGCATCTTCCCACATTCAGCAATGCTGTGCCCCCAGGCTGCGGATTGTTTCTGCGCGCCGGGATGATTTCGAAGTGATCCTGCGAGCCGTGGCTTGGAAATGTTTGTCTTCGGACAGTTGGAAGAAAGATGAAGAAAGTCCTGGTTCTGAAAATTAAGCCTCCGGTAAATCACTAAACATGAATGTAATTTAATGTAGATATAGGAATCCATGGGTGGAAACCCCGGGATTTGATGATCTATGAATTATGAGAAGGCTCTGTCACATGACTCAGTTTACCCTCCAAAGTAGCAACAATACACTAGTTAAAATTCAAGGCCAAAATGAGTCATTGGGATTTCCTGGGTGCATAATGGTATATACTGTGTGTATATATATATATATATGGTACCCCCCCCCCAAGACCTACCTTTTCAACCCTACATACAGATACAAACTATATATTATACAATTATACCAGGTTTCTGGGATGTTTGTGGAAAGCCAAGTCTCACGTTTCAAGTCTGACAAGTGGAGACTCTTGTCTTTCTCAAGTCTGACAATTTCATCCTCGTGGATCCAAGATCCAAGATGTGTGTGATGATATATGCATTTGTGTATGAAAAACATACAATCGCACTTCTCCTGCGCCATCATCGAGCCCCAGAGCGTTCCTGCAGGGTGGTAAGAAGCCCGAAAAATAGAGCAAATATCATGATAATGTTAAGGCATGACAGGCAAGAAGAAAACAAGCCAGAAAATCTGACTAACCATCTGGTAATTTGAGATACCTATGGGAAATCATCATTTTTGACTGGGAAATTGCCGGCTAGACCATGGTGATGCGTGCAATCCTTGCAATCAATCAACTTCACTTTGGCATCTGGAAACTGTAGTGCATCCCGAAAAACATGAACCGATCATGTCCAACGGGGGGAAATTTGCAAAACGCCCATACTATCGGTTTTATCTGAACATATCTGAACACAGGGTCCCCAAAAATCATCCAAAAATCATCCAAAAATCTCATGGATTTTCCACATTCTTTTAAAGCCAAAAACATCAAGAAATCGGAGCATCCGGGTACCCTCTGGTAAACGTTTACAGTTTGCGAACTTGAAAATGGCCCAGTCGAAATAGTGGATTTACCCATTAGTAGCATGGTGGATCTTTCCATAGTGTTACCCATTAATACCCATTAAAAATTGTGATTTTCCATAGTTTTTTGTATGTTTACCAGAGGGTATCCCATTCAAAAGCCTCCAGTGAGGATTTCGTCGTTGAGAATGCTCTCCCAAAAACCACCTGGCATAGCTGGAGGGAGTTTTTCCTAAGGAAAGACCCAAATAGCTGGATGGATGACTTCATGGAAAATCCATGAAAATTTGGCAGTTGAAAAAATCTTGATAGACCTATTTGGAAACAAAAAATGGATGATAAGGTTGACTGTCACGGAACATCCTGAAGGATTCGGGGGTACCCCCATGATTTAGAAAACCGAAACATGTGAAAAACGTGTCACAAAATGGAGGTTTTTGTCAGGGGCAATCCCGTACTCCTCCCACTATACTCCCAACATCTCCCAACAGGCGAACGTTCGAAATCTTGGTGTGATGTTTTTAAAGCAATGTCATAAACCACTAACCACTCATATTTTTAATGGAATTTATATCACCCATTGTGAAATTTGGGGATGGTAAAAACTAGTGCTTTACCAACAATAGCAATAAACATATGAATCTTGGGCCCTTACTGGTGGTATTTTCTTGGGGGGGCGGACAACTAGGAGATGGTTGGATGTGAACTCGGTGAACGTCACAATGCTGTCGATCTCTGCATGTTTGGGATGTTCACCAAAGAATCTGTTGGATATCGCAGCTCTCAGGTTTTTTGGAGGGAAAGCCGCAAAGCCCTTGAATACAGAGATGGCGAATCATTGTCGAATGGGAGTCCACCATGAAGAAGAAGGTCCGAACATCTCTACCAAAAAACTCTCAACAAGTCTGTCCAAGTTCTCCTGTGCACTCTTACCTCTGCTAACTCCGAACTCAAGCTACTTCCCTGCGGACCCTCTTAAGCCCGAATACAGGGCGATGCGAAAACCGTGACATTGTTAAGAAGCCTATATATTCTCACTGGGAACTGGCTTGGTGGTTGGTAATTTCGTAAATGGATCTGAAAGAATATGATACCATTCTATCCCATTGTATCACCACAAAATGACAAATCTAGATCCCATGACCCTCTGGTACTCAAGCACGGCTTGCTGGAAAAGCTCCTATCTAGATCTATTTAGTTAAGTTCATTTTTCCAGCTATTAACCTCTATTTATAGTGGATGTTCCCATATTTTCCCACATTTCGCTATGTTTTCCCATTAAACCTCTAGGTACTATATCCCGAAACATGCCCTCCCAATACAAAATTGCCATGCCAGCCAGGCGTTGGTAGTAGCGTCCCACACGCAATCGAGGAGGGCGCGGCCCCTGGATGTCTTGGATGACTTGGATGATTTGGATGTCTTGGACTGGTCTGGTGATGGTGAAAGTGGTGATGATGGTGGTAGTTTAATCATTGAAAATTGTGATTTAATGGGATTTAATGGATATAACTATAACATGAAATAACATGATATAACCAATCTTTGCATGGGACCATGGCTGGAATGAATGGGATCCTATAACCAACCCTCCGGCAATTGTTAACTGGATCATCCTGATGGTCAGGATGAAAGACACCATGCTTGAGAAAAATGCCTTAAAAATGCGCTGGGTTTATAGTTGTTTGATGTTTTTTGGGGCGTGAATTGCGTGAATCATGACATGATGATTACTCTGATTACCCTCTGGTAAACTAACATAGCTATTGAACATGGCCATTAATAGTGGATTTTCCCATTAAAAATGGTGATGTTCCATAGTTTTTTGTATGTTTACCAGAGGGTACTCCACTTGTTGATGTGAAGTGAATCACACCATTGCAATGTCCAGCAATCCCGCAGCGAGAACCAGATGTGCGCCTGAGCCTCGCAACAGAAGAAGAGCTGTCTCACCTCCATGGCAGCTCAGCCAAAATGGGGCCACTTTGCGGGGATGGATGCTTCGGCCAAAATCTCTAGATCATGTAGACACGTGTAGAACATATACCCTCTGGTAAACTAACAGTTTGCGAACTTGAAAATGGCCCAGTCGAAATAGTGGATTTTCCCATGAAAAATGGTGGATCTTTCCATCGCTTTTTGTTAGTTTACCAGAGGGTATACGAAATTCAATGAACACATATTTACTTCGGGGATTGTCCAGCCATGATTCCCAGAAAATAACATCTCCAGGCATAGCCTAGCCCGATCTAGCCCGCTTTTCAGGCGAACCTCTGCCGGAAGATTTGGACGCAGCTCATCTCCATGCACCTGCGGTGCATAAAGCTGGCAGGGAAAAGCGACGAAAATGACCAAAGAGATGCTTCTCACATAGTTCCCAGCATCAAAAGTCTAGAACATTGAAGTCCATGTTGTTTCTGGCTATCCTTCGCAATCACGCAATCCAAAGATGAAAGTCCGCCTCCAGCTTTAAATGTCTAGGAAGTTGATCCCTTCTTCTAAGGGATCTAACATGATGGTATAATTCCGTGTAAGTTGGATGGGTTTGGAGGACTATGATGTGTATCAATTGCAACCAATCCACCCTGGTTTCGTGTGGGGGTGTTTAATATGAACGGAGGGATGGGGTTGTGTTATATATATATATCTTTCTATGTGTCTATCCATCCATCCATCCATCCATCTATCCATCCATCAATCCATCTATCTACCTATCTACCTATCTATATACCGTCTGGTAATTTAACATAGCTATTGAAAATGACCCAGTCGAAATAGTGGATGTTCCCATTCAAAATGGTGGATCTTTCCATCGTTTTTGGTATGTTTACCAGAGGGTAAACCTCCATTTTCCTATGGTTTTCCTATGGTTTTCCCATTCAAACATCCATTTTCCTATGGTTTACCAGAGGGTAAACCTCCAGAAAATCCCCCCAGGTGTACACCTCCAAGCAGTACAGCGCATCAGGTGGAGCTTCCGCGGACGAGGACGTACGCCTCAAAAAAGGCCACCAAGCCCAGCCCAGCCATGGAACAGTTGGGACGCCTGGGACACCTGGGAGACCTGGGAAGGGGGAAAACCATAGGAAAATGGATGTTTACCCTCTGGTAAACATACCAAAAACGATGGAAAGAAACTCATCATTTTGAATGGGAAAATCCACTATTTCGACTGGGCCATTTTCAATAGCAAACTGTTAGTTTACCGGAGGGTATCAAATCTATGAAAAGTAAAGAGGGAAATGTTCAAAGCTTCCCATGGGAACCTCTGGTTGGTGGTTGAGGTATACCTACCCCGTCCTGAAAAATGATGGAGTGAGTTCGTCAGTTGGGATGATGACATTCCCAACTGAATGGAAAGTCATGTTCAAGCCATGTTCCAAACCACCAACCAGTTCTTGATCCTTAAAATTCGGGACTTCGGGACTTCCCAATGTTCATCCCAAGTTTCAAGCCTTAATTCATAAATATTCATCATACCCTCTGGTAAATTAACATAGACCCTGGCAGTCATCGGGGTTGGAAGACTAGTTTCCATTAAAACTAAGCTATTTTCAGGGTCCAACTGTTAATTTACCAGAGGCTAAATAGGGAAAATTTACTGGTTTAAGCCCCATATTTCATGGGAAAATCCATGGTTTCCATGGTTTCCGGGTAAGATTTTCCCCAACAAACCCATCCATTGATCAATCCCAAGTGGGTCGCCCTGCCATCGCCCTGCCACCGTTCCGCTGGGAGGATGCAGTAGATCCAGGCTATCATCCAGGTCCTCGAAAGGCCTCGTTAAACGGAGGCACGCTGGAGCTGGAGGTGGATGACCTATAATGTCAACCTTTCATATTATCCTCTGGTAAACATACAAAAAACTATGGAAAATCACCATTCTTAATGGTAAACCCACTATTTCTATGACCATTTTCAATAGCTATGTTAAATTACCAGAGGGTAATCAATGGAAAGTTGATATTTCTTGGTTGATTTCTTGGACCAGGCCTGACACCCCATATGAAGATATATGAAGTATTACCCTCTGGTAAACATACAAAAAACTATGGAAAATCACCATTTTGAATGGGAAAATCCACTATTTCTATGGCCATGTTCAATAGCTATGTAACAAATTACCAGAGGGTAAAATATATTAAACACCCCCATTATAGAGAAAGTCGTAAAAGCCATGTTCCAACTAGTGATGGTTTATCATTGTCGTCCCTAGTTTTTAATGTCAACCCTGGATTCATAAATTCCGTTTACGGCTGTTGAATTTGGCGGGTACCATTTATGTACCATGTAAAGTGACTATTTGGGGGGTACCCCCTAATTAATAAACCATGGTTCATGACCTATCCCATCCCCCGTTCATAGAAAAAACACCCCCATTATGGATGGCTCAATGTGGAAATGTACCCGACTTTTTACAAAGGGGTTTCGTGAATTGGGGGTGTGGAATGTGTGAACACAGGAATGGATTCTTTGAATTATGTATGAATCTGGGAAAAACATGGACAAATTCGAGGAATGTCCTAGAGTTCAATAGATCTATAAATGGGAAAATCATGAAAAATACGTTCATAATTTTCATAGCATAAAATCATCCAACTAAATGGGAAAATCATCCAACTAAATGGAAAAATCTTGGAAAGGTCCCCGAAGAAGCCATGGAGGTTTTAATCGGAAAATCATTGATAAATGGGAATGAGAATAATCGAACCTCCCATCGAAACCTCCATTTACTGGTGATTTAATTCCCATTGCTATCCGTGGTTTAGATATGTGTTCTTCTTATGGCTTCAATGGGAATTTAGATCATGCTGTGGAAAATTTTCCCATGTGTTGGTTATTTGTCCCATTCTAGCGACATTTTTATCAGACCTCCATGGGGCAAGTTTCCGGGATTCTCCAGCTTGATTACCGGGTCAATTTGTTGGAGAAAAAACGACATAGTGTGACTAGTTGGAAAATTTTGAATCACTTGGAAATATGACTAGTAAAACCATGTAAAACCCTTTCGAACACAAAATGCTTGTGTTTTTCGTAAAGTTTCTCCTGTCTGGCGCAGTTTTCCTGGGTATGTGCCTTGTTCGCTGCATTTTGGAACCTTTGAGGACATTCTAAGAGGGAGATTTAAGATATCAGAGCCAACATGTTTGCAGCTGAGAATCTATCTATATATCTTGTTGTTGAATTTCCGAATGGGGGAGGGTGATTTCAACTGAATTGGTTGAAAGTTTTCTCATTGAATGGTGATTTAAGCCGGCAAACATCTGGCTTTGAACAGAATGGGAGTTAACCAAAAATGAATGTGGATTTATATAACATAATTTTAATGAATACGAATGGCAATTGAACCTCAAACTTGAGACGTGATATGGCAAATCAGCAAAAATCTGAACCAAAACAACAAAAGAGTTGATCGACACCGGGGACGTAGCCAGCAAACATCACGCAAAATTTGGTGTTTCATAGGTAAAACTTGGCGGATTTACCATCTGGTTATGACTAACATAGCCATGGAAAATCCCCACCATAAATGGATGTTTCTCGCTGGGAAAATCATCTATTTCGATTAGGGCCATCAATTTTCCATGGCAAACTGTTAGTCATAACCAGAGGGTAAACCTTAACGATGGGCACTGAAAAGCCCATTTTGGACGACCAAAACGTCGTCAAACGCCCAAATCCCTGGGGCAGGTCATGAAGTGGGCCAGAAAACCATCCTTATGAATATCATGGACCCCTAAGTTTGAGATGGACCCAAATATGTATAAGTAAATTTTAAAAAAATAGATTTATAAATATGTTTTAAATAGATTTATAAATAGATTCAGTATTTACAATCATATATATATATATGATATTATATGATTATATTTTAAATTATGAACAAAAAATATTCCACCCAAAAAATGAAGGCTTCCATCTCAAATGGAGATGCCGCAGCTCCAGTCGCCAAGGGTCCCCCTGGGTGGTGCAATGCGCTTGTCAGATGGAAAGGCCGTAGGTAACGCTTCGGCCGCCGGGCTGGGACCCAGCACCTGGGAAAATTCAGGGAATTTTCCGTGGCTTAACCTGGAATTGATGCTGATTCAACTGCGAAAATCGTGGCATTTCAATGCATGTCAGGCATGTCATATCATTTCACCATGAACAATAAGGATCTAACCAAAAGATTTTTATTTTTCAGGAAAAAACCTACAGAAAATCATTGTCTTTACCTGACATGTACCAGATACACCCTAATTGACGTCCATTTCTAGATGATTTCCATAGCAAAGATTTGAAATATTTTACAATTACATATCTAGAAATATCAGAAATGGATGGTATAAGCAGTGTAAGCCGTCCGGAAGTGGTGGTTTATTTTAATGGATTGATTTCGGCAGGGGAACATCAGGAAATGTTCCGATCATCCAATTCTGTCATGTCAGTCACGTTCCGTTGCTGGACAGTATCGTTTGAAACATTGGGGTGTGTCCCCAAAATAGAGGTAACTCTTGCAATTACCCTCTGGTAAACTAACATAGCTATTGAAAATTGCCATTTATAGTGGATTTAACCCATTTAAAATGGTGATTTTCCATAGCTACGTTAGTTTACCAGAGGGTACTTATCTAAAAGTCCATTGATTCTTTTACCCTCTGGTACTCAAACATGGCGATGGGAAACCCCTCATTTCAAAGCCGCCATTTTTACATCCAGTTCTAGATGAGAAAAAAACCATTTAAACCCATTTACCATCTGGTTATTTGTTACATAGCCATGGAAGCCATGACCCATAGAAATAGATGGTTTACCGTTCTTAATAGCATGGTGGATCTTCCCAGTTCGCTAACTGGCAATGTCATAACCAGATGGTAAAACCATTTGAAACCTCCAGGGTTTTCGGGGGATCTCCGTAGGATCTCCCGCCTCGAATTGGAAGACCACGAAGGGTTTGCGACTTTGGTTCTCTGGAGCAGTAACCTGGGCAACTCTCAGTCGACCAAGTGATCCAAGTGCTTGGCCGACTTTGATGGAACCAGTGATTTCTTGGGAAAAATGGTGGTTTCGAATGGGGTTTTTTATCGTGATTCATAGCTATTGAACTTATTGAACCAACAAACACTAGGGCCTAGGGCCTAGGGAATGTGAATGGAAAATCGCCCATGGCTTGATGATCAATATGTTATTTTGTTAAACCCCACCTGCCACAGGTCACCCCTGTTGGTAAATCCCTAGTCTTGTTTCAATTGAAGCTTCAGTTTTTTATTGGTTCAACTCCACTGTTATGTTTTAAGTTTCCAATGTTGATTGCTTAAACTAGTGCCCATTCTGAACGCCGTTTTTGTTGATAAAATCAGACCGGTATATCTCAGATAGGGTAAATCCCGATTTAGTCGCTGAAATCGCCATGTTTGTTGGTAAAATAAAATCCCTCAAATCACGCATTTCTGTAAATCCTGAGTTTGCTCATCGTTCTTCGGCTTTCAAATCATAGTGTGCAGGTTAAACGGTTAAACGCTTAAACCCCAATTCTGGTTGCTTAATCTTAAATGTACATGTTTTGTCTTGTTTTTTTGGAGGAACCGCCTAAACCGTTACCACAAAAAATATTCCCTCAGTCGATTCCCCAATCGTAGTGGATTGTCCATCTTTAAAATAAACAGCAAATCCAAGACGGTCACAATATGTTTCCCAGCTACAGTATGCAAACCTCCATTGGTAGTGGATGTTCCCTACATGTTCCAATTCATTATCCATATTAATTATGTATTATTACTGGGTTCAGATTCCAATGATAAACTCATAATCCAGTAATAAAGTCACAATCCAGTAATATCAGTAATTGTAGTTGTTAGTAAATTGGATATTGGTCACTACATGTCACTACCATTACTGGATATTCACCCAATATACCATATGGAAACTACCAATCAGTACCCTCTGGTTATGTCAAAATAGCTATTGAAAATGGCCCAGTCAAAATAGTGGATCTTCCCATTGAAAAATGGTGATTTTCCATAGTTTTATGTATGTTTACCAGAGGGTAACTGAATATCCACCCAATTGGTCGTTTCCAACATACCTGGCACTCTGGGCTGAGCCCCGACATCCACCACCGTTGCCAACGCGATGGCATCGCCGTGCTGCAGGCAGTGCTCACCCGAGTCTGCGGTCGTTTCGGTGGCTCCGAAGAATAGAGGCTTCACCAACACAAAACCAGGGATTTGACCACAAAAATACTGATTTCATCAATCGATTGGGTTGGTTTGTTGGGGAAAATCTTAACCGGAAACCATAGATGTTCCCATTGAATATGGGGCTTTCCTGTAATTTTTCCCTTAAACCAATCCATTCATTTAAACTTCATTTAACCAATCAAAATATGGACATTAGATATTTTACAATTATTTTATCTTACCAAGAAAAAACAAGAAAATTGAACTGAAATGTTGTATGATTCTGTCTGAAAATGCTGCTCAGAGGGATCCTTTCAGGTGCTTCGAAGCCTCGTTTCCCATATATCGAAGCCCCTGGGAGCCCGGGCCGTTTCCGATGAAGTGCCCATTGAGCATCACACCGTTCAAGGACAGGCAGAGCACTTGGAAGGACGCCTCAAATCGATCTCAACGATCTTCACCAAGGGGGAGATTTCTGGGATAAATCGGAAAGTCCATGAAAATCCCACGATTTTCCCATATTTTCCATAGAAGATTCTCATTTTCCCATATTTTCCATGGAAAAGTTGGCCAGAAATGAAGGTAGTTCCTCCATGTTCCTCCCATTCTTCATCAAACCGGCTGTTTTGCAGGCCTGCGGCAGCGTACTTTCCTGGATCGACGACCTTCTCACAAGCACCTGACCGTCGCAAGTTGTCCCGCGGGTGCAACCCCCACAAAGATCCAGAAAAACTCATGAAAAATGGCCCATAGAAATAGATGGTTTACCTATTAATAGCATGGTGATTTTCTAGTTCGCTAACTGTGAGTCATAACCAGCGGGGGTGGCTTACGATATTCATCTGGGATCATCTGGATGCGTCTGAAAATGGGGAATGAATTGTTTTCAAGGCCGTCAAGTCATTGCGAAAGTGATGGCCTAAACCAATAGATTTAGGGGTGCCCTGTCTTCAAACCAAACCATCTAGTGTTTCATCTATCATCATGTACTATTGGAGGTTAACATAGGTTAACCTCTCTATGAATCATCTAGCTAGTATAGCTGGATGTTCATGCCTTCACATGGGAAAATCGTAGGTTTTGTGACCTCAATTTTGGCCAACATCAACCACTGCATCATACTGCAGTTTCCCACCTCCCCACCAATGTGCAGCTCCAACGCTAGATTTCAATCTGTAGTTCCTAGTCATGTTCTTCCTGCGTGGAACTACCCAACGAGTTTTCCTCAGATTCTTCCCCCCGCCCACCACTTCCCCCCCCCAAAAAAAAATATGGGTTTTTCTGAAAAATTCTCAAGATCCAGTCATTTACCATCATGTTCCCTATTAAGATGCTATTTTGGATGGCATGCCCAATTTTCAGACACAAAAACATAGATTTTCCAAGGTTTCCCAGAGATTTTCCAGAGACTCTCCCAGATTTCCCCCTAGTTACAGCCCAGCCTTCAGATGTTCCCGAGACACCGTGCCATGCAGCCTTCGGTCGGGCACCAAAGTGTCCCAGACCTCAGAAGCAGTGGGAGATTGTCAAAACCTCTTGGGACTTTTACGGATAAAAATTACAACATATATATATATATTGTAATTTATATAGATAGATAGATAGATAGATAGATAGATATATGCATATATATATATACTGTATACATTTCTATATATATATATATTATATTGTAGAGTGTTTTTCTTTTTTTCTTTCTGGGCCAGCTGCTCGATGCAATCTTACATTTATATAGATGATAGATATAGACAAATAGATATATATATATATGTTTACACACATATAACCCGCCAAAGAAAAATAGAAATGTGTTTTATCACTCTTTTGGTTTGATTTATTGTTTTATCTTTTTTGGGTGGTACTATGTATATATATGTGTGTGTATGTATGTATGTGCACAATTATATGCAGATAGTTCTTCTAGTTGCGGTAAAAGTGCTTCGAACCCGCACTTTTGACTTTTGTGGTGTGTATCTCATGCCTTCTGATTACCGTTTCTAGTGTTCGTCGTATCAAGATGTTTTAAGGGTCTCGGTCTACGTTATCTGTCCATATTTTTCTACTAGTTTCACCTATTTTCTAACCGCACTTTGGGGTCTTGTCACATGTTTTTGGGGGTCGTTGCTTCTTCAGGGCGCCGGACGTTGGGGTGGGATGACCAGCAGCTGCATCCAGCAATCCAGGTCCAAAAGGAATTTCGCGACATCCAACAACAACCAACCACCAACCGCAATGTGGATATAAGTTGATATAAGATGATATAAGTTGATATATATAAGTTGATATAAGATGTATTAAGATGTATACCAAATGTATACCAGATGTTGCGCAGCTCACCGCCATCCGGGTTGCCACCTCGGATCCAGTCACATTGGATGACCGATGACCACTGAGGCCCCCAACAGCTGGCGCCTGGGCCGTTCTGCCAACCACCAGCTCGGGCATGGTGCTGGACCTGGTTTCAAGCACTGTGTTGAAATTTGGAGAGGTGAAAATCATGGTGAAAATCATGGTGAAAATCATGGAAAAAATCACCGAGCTCAAGTGATTTTCTGGATTTTTCACGGACATCAGGACATAGATGCATAACTCAAGTGTTTCTTAGGACGTCTTAAGACATCCCTGTCTGATTATGCGCCACCCGACTCTCCAGTTGGAGGGAACAACTTCTGGGCATCCCTCACAAGGAGCGCTGCTGCGGCGAGAGCTTGGCTAAATCCACCCCCTCCGCATAGACGCACCAAAGGCGGTAGGGTGGAACGGCCTGGCCGTAGGTGTGGCCAAGTCGGACCGTAAATCGACCTTTTCAAAGGGGAAAAAAAGGATAAAAAGGCCACGAGTTGTGTGAAACTTGTATATCATGCCCCATATCATTGCCATATCATGCCACATCATTGCTATATCCTGTATCATTTGGGGGGCATGATATGGCAATGACGGGGCATGGCTGTTGGTTTTTGCTCCATTTCTGGGTGAACCATCAGGCATCTCCGCATTTCCGAGGATGAGGAGTTCGACCATCCAGGAACTCATCGCAAGCCGAAAGGTTGGTCAAATGGTCGGTTACCCATTTGGTTATGACTAACATAGCCATGGAAAATCCCTTATAAATGGAGGTTTCTAGCTGGGAAAATCATCTATAAATGGGCCATGGCTTCCATGGCTATGTTAAATAACCAGAGGGTACAGCCCCCGCAGCTTTCAATTTCAGGAAAATCTGGTCACAGAATAGTCTAGCCATTCTAGCCCAGTCTCCACTACCTTTTCTCCATGGTTTTTTTTCATCTGCCACCATGGTCTCTCGGGGCTATTGATCCTCCTGTGAAATTCTGATCTCAAGTTGTACCATCTTCCGGCTATCTCTATGTCAATTTGAAATGACTGGGACCTCTGCCAGTACCACTAAACAACACGATGGTTGACGTCCACACTTCAATTTACCCTCCAATAATCAAACATGGCAATGTAAAACCACTCGTTTTGTTCAAAGATGTTCCCATTAAAACATCCATTTGCAAGGGGTTTTCATGTGATCATATGTTTCTCATATTTCTACCATGTTGTTCCCATTAAAAACCTCCATTTTTCACGGGCATTTCCCATCCTTCCCCCCGTCACTCGCACCGACGGATCGAGTAACTCACGATGATCAACACCCCCACGTCCTGGGAAGATGGGGTTCTATGGGTTGACACAGTTGTACAATATCAAGCCAGAACACTGGGATATACGTTTTTCATCCAGTTGAATATGGGAAGGGTACAGTATGGTACAGTACATATTTTTGGGAAGCGAATTTTAAGTTGTTTTAAGATGTACTATACTGTAGTGTTCCTGGATTTAAAAAAAAACTGGGATCCATGGAAAAATCCATAGTTCCACTGGGAATCTGAACAACATTTTGACTCCAAAGGGGTGATCCGAAGAAAACCAGTGCATTTCGCATTTCACTTGAAACAACGTACAACAACACACGTTGTTGTAACCCACATGCGATACCTGTATCATCTGTATGCGCATTATAATATATATATATATATAGATCGATAGATAGTTTATTCACTGAAATTTGGATTGATGTTCATTACCCTCTGGTAAACAAACATAAAACTATGGAAAATCACCATTTTCAATGGGTAAATCCACTATTTCAACTGGGCCATTTTCAATAGCTATGTAACAAATTACCAGAGGGTCATGTTCATTATCTAATGACATCTATCCACATCTATCCTATCTCCATTTGTTTCATGATGATAATCCGCCCTCTCCGCGCACAAAAAACCGGCCGCGCCTGGCACAATGCCATTTTGAGGAGTCGGCCAGGGCCTCTATTTCAACTGGGCCATTTTCAATAGCTATGTAACAAATTACCAGAGGGTCATGTTCATTATCTAATGACATCTATCCACATCTATCCTATCTCCATTTGTTTCATGATGATAATCCGCCCTCTCCGCGCACAAAAAACCGGCCGCGCCTGGCACAATGCCATTTTGAGGAGTCGGCCAGGGCCTCAACATGACTGTGGATGGTTGCCAAATCCTGCACCAGTTACACCAGTTGATAGGTGGTAAACATCCCATTCTTTACAGGGTTTCAACCATCCAAGGTGCAGGACTTCGCAACCATCCACAGTGGGAATTCCAGGATCCAACAGATGGAGGTACGTTAGTACCATATTTTAGGCCATATTTTGGGGCTATATCCCCTTACATAGGCCTGAAAAATAGGCCTTTTTTATATGGTAGGTACCTCCATTTTAGGATCCTGAAATTCCCATCAGTACCCTCTGGTAATTTAACATAGCTATTGAAAATCACCATGTTCAATAGGTAAACAATCTATAAATGGGCTATTTTCAATAGCTATTAGTTAAATTACCAGAGGGTATAATTATCAAAGAAATAGAAATAGAGCCATGACCCAATATATGGAAAAATAAAAGCCATGTTCCAGTCACCAACAACCAGGATATCAATATTATATCACCTATAAAAATGCTGATGACTGGATTTATATGGTTTATTACTGGTTTACCCACATTAAAACATAGCTCCAAATTTATACCAACCATCAGTATGTTTCATCATTGTTCCAAGTTCTTCCCCTGAGCTCCAACGGCGGCCCGCGCTCGCGCGGCTCGCGCGGCTCCGCGACGGCTTTGGGTCGCGGCACGGCCGCTTTGACCCGGGGAGGGGGCCTCGGCGGCCTCCGTTTAACGATGGGAATGGATGGATGCCTAGTGATCAACCATGAAAATATCATAGTAATATGATACCAGTAATATCACATTAATATATCTTAATTGTTATTAATGATCATTAGTAATGATCATAGTAATATCATAGTTAATTATCACTGTTACATAGTAATGATCATAGTAATATCTTGAATTGGTGTTAGCAGTAATATGCGCATTAACATAGTAATATGATCATTACTGTTAGTGGTCAATATAGTAGTTTGATCATTGACATAGTAATATGATAACAGTAGTCGTATCACAGTAAAGAGCATAGTAATTAGGGGTAATTCTTACCCTGTCATATGGTATAATGGTGGCCCGTCATAGTGACAGGTAATATTAAATATCAATTGTTATGGATAATATCCAGTAATATCATTAGCATTACTATTAGTAATATGGATATCATCATGTAGTAATTATGATAAAACTGAATAATAATGATAATAGTATATGATCATAAATCAATAATGTGACAATGATCGTGATCATCTGGAATGATGATGACTAGTGATTTCACAATATGTAACATTATTGTATATTGATAGGATAATAGTCACCATGGTAAATGCTGGGATATGAATGGCGAATCCTAGTAGTATACTAATAGTATCAACTAGTAATGAATGGTAATGTGGTAAACCCAATAATAATAATAATTAATAATAATAATATGTAATAATAATCAGCATTTTTATGGGTGCCATGTTTGCTCAACAGGTAAGTTTATGGCATTGGGTTTCCGACATTAATCATTATTTATCGCAGGAGATATCACTTCTTATTCCTATTGCATACTGTGTGTTCGTTCGTAGTCCATCTATATAATTCCAATATTAGCTTTTATTGTTGTCATAAGCTACAATTATGTGGATTACTATTGTGGACATCTTGATTTCTATTGCAATTAAAGTTGGTGATCATCTCTTTTCCTTCATTGTTGCCATTGTAGCTGCGGCCCAAGTGGAAATGATCATCCAACAGTTTGACCCATGATGGCTTTACTATCCATTACTATCCATTACTATCCAAGTGGATACAGTACTAGATTTCATAGATTTTCTTAGTGGATATCCCATACTACATAAAACTATCCATTTCATATTAGTAATATTTAGTGATTACTAGTGACTGCCTTCCAACCCCCGCCCTCCATGGTGCGCATCTTTCAGGGTCCCCGGGCGGTGGGGGTGGGGGAGGCCCATAACTTTGCTCCTCCAACGACCGATTTCCCGATTTCGGTCGGGGGGGTGGCCGATTTCGGGTGGCCCCAGAAGCATCCCAAAAGAAGCCAAACAGTGTTAGTAACTATGATATAATGTTGGTAACTATGATTTGTAATATAACATACTATAACTAGTAAGATTTCGATAGCTAGGTTGCTAGCCATTACTCAATTGGTTCAACTGTTGGTTTGCAATGGTTCCGATACCTCTGTTAGTTTATGATCTACCAAGGATAACCATGGTTGATGGTAGATATATCGAATTAGTTAATTCAATTTATAAATCAACTTACACTTGGGCGGCACCACCTTGTTAAAATTATTCTTTCTTGGAGCCACCATTCTTTGTCCTGATGGATTTGTAGAATGTAAAAACGAGGAGGCAAAGAATATTAATTAATATAGCTACTTCAAAATCAGTTTTTCAGTTCCATTTCGAACAAAAAATCCGGCAATCTGGTATACTCCAAATTTCACCATAATGGAAAAAAAAAAAAAAAACATCCAGATCCCAAAAGAAATGTCCGCCATCCCTCCTTGGAGTCTCGTGGCTGTCTCCATCCCGTAGGACCCGGTGGTGCTTCTGGCAAGTCCACCGCCCTGTGGCGGTAGGGGATAGATTTCACCCACATGGTGACGACTGAGCAACAAAGATCTGGATATCATGGGAAAATAACGGGATATTAACTTATAATGATTCATCATGATGATGATTCATGTGGTATTAATCATCATTAACCATCATTAGCCACATTAATAGTGATGTTGATGATGATGATGATGATGATACAAGGTGATGCCCCAGTTCGGTAGTTATGTTGACGCAAATAAACTCCAGTAACTGTCGGGTCTGTGGTAGATAATTATAACATATGAATACATATTATAACTATAAACCATAGATCGTAATAGATCACAGGGTCTAAAAAATGATAGTTATAGTTATAGTTGGTAACCATATTATAACCATATTATAACCATATGATGTTTGTTGGTTCATGGGGCTTATAAAATCTTAACCAACAAACATCACAACGTGGGCCACCAACCTCAGGCATCCCACTTACCGGTGATTTTTTTAAAAAACATGGGCCACTGCTCATAGTTTCCCAGAGAATCCAACTGAAAAAAGATTCCCAACCCCTTTCCAGCTGCCAAAAAAGAAAAGCTGGAAATTCTCCAGGCCCTTCGGTGGCATCATGGCATCTTCAGCCCTCCGTGACCTGATGTTGAGCGCTGGGACATTTGCTTCGATCTCTCCATGATCGTACCTGGTCAGAGACCGGAAAGGTCTGGATAGTGCTCGAGAGCACCAAAACAAAATGAGGAAATTCATGAGGTATTAGAAATCATGTTAGATAGATATTTAGATAGGAACCACCATAAACCACCATAAATCACCATAAACCAGCATAAATCACCATATTTCATTGGTTAAATCACCATATTTCACCATATTTCATTGGTTAATGTCATAAACCACCCAGTTTGATGGTTAGCACCGGCCACGGAGCACTGGATGCCGAAGGTTCCATCACGGTTGATGTGAAGAATGCGTCCCCGAAGCCTCGCGGGGGCTACGGATCGTTCATCCCAAAAAAGGACACATGGCATGACATGATTAGTTTTCTGCCTATCTGCCAATCTATCTATCTATCTATCTAACTATCTATCTATATATATATCTCTCTCTCTATCTATCTGTGTCTACCTAGATCTATCTACATCTATATGTATATATATATACATATCTATATCTATCTGTAACTATATCTATATCTATATCTATGTCTATCTATATCTATGTCTATCTATATCTATGTCTATGTCTATGTATATGTGTATGTATATGTATAAGTGTATGTATATGTATATGTATGTCGAATTTTATGTTTTACTTGATCCAAGAGACCGCTAGAGTTAAGCCAAGATATCACCCTCCAAATAGGAAGACCATCATCAAAGTCGCAGATGCAAATAGTACCACAAAAGTGGCGTTGATCTGACACAAATTGGAAATCAGCCCCAAAAGTTGTCACATCAATCACATCCCAACAAGAACGGCTGCTTTAGCCTACCATTCATGTTCCATACTCACCCCCCGTTCAAAGAAAGGTCCAGTAACTTGCCCCCGGCGCCAGAGAAACCGCCCCTTGGAATAATGGACATGTGGGGGGCTATATATACCATCATTTTCCCATAATCCCATAGCATCCCATAGCTATCTAAAACTACCCATCACAATACCACATGTTAAAGCACTGCCATACCGACACTTTCGAACCAAGCGAAAGCGAACGATGAACTGTGCCAAGGATCCAAGAAAGACCCCCTCGCCATCTGCTGGTGACCACCGTCCCCACCTTGGGATGCCAATCAAGCATGGCAAGCTGTGAAATGCATTGAAATCCACTACTGGTTGGTGGTTGACCTACCCCTCTGAAAGAATATGAGTTCGTCAGTTGGGATGATTCCCAATTATTATGGGAAAAATACCAGCCATGTTCCAGTCACCACCAACCAGACTATAAATCGATGTTTTTTTTTGTCACTGGGCATCTATTAAAATGGGTGATTTATGGGGAATTGGTGGGTGCCTCAGCTGTTTCCAGCTTCACGGCCTATGGTACCTCCAGTCATCCCAAGTCATCTCAAGTCATCGTTAGCTTCCCCATGAAACGACCAATGGAGGGGTGGTCACCTGTCATAGGGGGCTCCCAAAATGTGCTCCCTCCAGCACTTGACTTGCAATATTCATCATGATCATCATGATCATCATGATTCACAACTGTTAAATCCATGTGAAATCCCTGCTGTCCTACTGTTGATGCTTTGAAAAAACTCGGTTGATGGTTAGTTTTACCAGTGGTATTCCCAAGACATCCCATGAAATCACACTGTTTGTTGCTTAAAATCCTCACGAAATCACCAATCATATCCTATCAAATCCCATGTTGTTCACCATTATTCACATCAACCAATGACTGGTTGGTGGTGCAATGTGCCCATCTTGAAAAATGTGAGGAGTTCGTCAATGGGAGAACGATGACATCAGGATGATATCCCATATAATCCATATATTGTGGAAAATAATCCATTCATGTTTGAAACCACCAACCAGATCTGGTGATTTCTTACACTTTGCCATGGCAAAATCACCATTTGTTACACCAAACCACCAACCAATCAATGACTGACAAACCACCAAATGAGAATCTGATGCCCAAAAAACACCTGTTGGGTCCCCCAGGCCGCGAGCACCACTCGCCGCACGGCGGCCGTCTCTCCACCCACCGAAGCCCGCGGAGCCGCCGGCTCCTCGTCCTGACCTGGCTGCCAGGTGGGAGCCTGGAAACCCACCAAACGTGGGATTTTCATGGATTTTACCATGAATTTTACCCATAAACCATGGCTAAAGGTTGGTTTACTAAGTGAAGATTTCCCTCATGTCCCGCAAAAAACACACACAAAAAAAAAGAGCCAAAGCCCTGGTGTCCACAACAAAACTGTGCTGCCGTCGTTGGAGAATCTTCCACCGCCGCCTGCAGCTGCATCGGCGGGAGAAGCCTGGCTGTCTCAGCTGCTGATCTGCTTGGATATCTTGGATGCAGAACAGCAGCCCTGGAAATAGAGGTGCCTGGTAGCTTCAACCCAAAACACATTTGATTCCCAGAAATTGTCAGATGGGAAGATCAACTTGGACCTGAAAATACACAATAGAACAACCTTTTGAAACCGCTAACTGGAGAGAACTTCAGCTTTGATTTTGTCTTTTCACAGCTGAGAGTCCAAACAAAGACATGCTGCAAAACAGCAAATGCTCCATAGCTACCCTCTGGTAATCTAACATAGCTATTGAAAATGGCTATTTATAGTTGATTTTCCCATGAAAAATGGTGATTTTCCATAGTTATGTTAGTTTACCAGAGGGTAAGTCAACCTCCAATCTCAGATTTGGATGGTGTGTGCCATCGATAGCCTATTTCTGCTGAAATTTTTCGGGATGGTTTCTTCTGAAGTTGAACATCTTGCTGCAATCGAGTCTGGTGCTTCCACACTGCAGAAATCCGCATGCAGCATGGCAAGGGAAAACCCACCATTTTTACATTTAAAAAAAAACATGAAAAGAGATTAATACCTCCATATCCTCCATTTTACAAGGATTTCCATGGATTTTCCATTGCCACGATGGTTTACCGCCAAAATCTCCAACAGCATTTTTGTTGCGCAGAAAACGCTCCAAACGGCCCTGCAGTTGCTCCAACCTGAGTTCAGATGCGTGAGAATGGGTCACAACACTGGCATCGCCTTCCATTTCGCTACTTGGAATCACCTTCAGCAAAAGGGGGCAAAGATGAAAACCCCACTTAGACCCCCATCCGCATGATCGAAATTGCTAGTGAACCAGAGTCAAAAGCTTTCAAACAAATCCTGAATCCAATATGATCCAATATGCAAGTTGCCAGTTTGCCTCGTGCATCTACCTGTCCAATCCTTTCCATCAGTTTTTTAACACAAAAACGGCTTCCCAAAATTAGGTAGCCAATCAATGGCAGTCCACTGCAGTCCACTTCAGTCAACATTTTTGGGCTTCAACATGCCACCAACAACCCCGGTTGGAACATGTCGCGAAGGCTGGCTACGTACCGTACGTCCCGGTTTGCCGAGCAACAGAGGTGAGGCGGTGTCTCTTCCCTTGACATCACCTGGATCAGACCCAAGCCATCCCAAGCCGTTCAGGAGAACACCCATGGTTGCTATAAATTTGGAGCTATGATTTAATGTGGGTAAACCAGTAATAAACCATATAAATCCAGTCATCACCAGTTTTATATTTTTATAGGTGGTGTGGATAAACCATAATAAACCATTCCCAGTCATGGCTGGTTTTATGGCATTGTTTTACCCATATGACATAGGATTTTCTAGTCTATAGGATCTATCTGAGGGTACCCCTCCAAAGTACATGAAATATCATGAAATCAATCAGGGTCGTCTAGGATCATCTGGACAGCACTGGATGCCCCACATGTCCCAGGTCAGGAACTTTTTTCTCTACAAATGATGGAGATACAACCTAAATCAACCAGAGAAGTCACTAGAATATTACCCTTCGGTAATCAAACATGGCAAGCTGGGAATTCCTTTATAAATGGAGGCTTTACTCGGAAAATGAGCTGGTAAACTAACAGTTTGCTATGGAAAATCATCAGTTTGAATAGACAAATCATCGAAGGAAATGGGCAGTTTTCCATAGCTACAGTATGTTGGTTTACTGGAGGAGAAGTGATGCGAAAGTGGCAAACGGACGCCAATTTTGGCCCCGTCCAATGCAAAAAAACCCTTCAAAAACGCTGGTGAAATGATCTGAAATGGGCCCATGCCCAGGTTTCGTGATGAAATTTTGCAGCCTAAATCCACCAGAGCTCCCCGTCCGCCTGTCCCTTCGCACGCTATCAGCGCTGCGCAAAAAACTGAAGGTTCCTTTGCTGGGGAGGCTGGTCGGGACGAAGCAGGTTGGATGCAGAGACTTTTCTTGAGCTGGGCCCCAAACGTCCCGGTCTGAAATCTGAGCCTTCACCCAACTACGACATACTACGACTATACACTATACAAGCTTTTCAATACACAAACAAGGCATGGAACCGTCAAGCTCTCGAAGTTCATGCAGACCCCAATTTTCGACTACAGATCCCATCCAAAAACTTTCTTACCTGCGGGAAATTCATCGACATGTAAGTTCAACCACTCTGAAAAGTCTTAAAAATACATATGCTTGCGAAATCATACAATGTATATATATATATACATATTTATTCACCGGTAAGTACATACTTGTGCGCATATATAAATATATACATACGTACGTGTTTATGTTTATGTTTATACGTCTAAATATTGCATAATATTGCGATATAACGTGCATACACGTCCTAATTATATATATATATATATAATTTTGACAAATGCAATGTAAATGTTACAATTACAAAAACAGCAAAAAAAACCATCCCCCGCATCCAACCCAGCTGCCGGGTCCATGGCCAAGCCCTGGAACTGCTGCAGAAACGCCACGCAGTGCCACCAGGGCGCCTTGCCGTTCCTGGCCGCTGCAAGGGCCATCTGACCTGAGGTGCAAACATGTCATTTCACGGAGCAAAAACGTGGGTTTTGAAGAACAGAAATGTGGATTTCACCCACCAAAATCAAACCTAACATGGGGATCTCACCTCTAAAAATGGGAACTGAACCGTCCTTAAATCGGGGGATTCCAGGCTTTCCACCCATAGCTCCAGCATCCATCGATCTTCCCTGCATCTCCACCAGGGTGTCTGCTGCCCGCCGCCAGCAGCCAGCTTTGCTGCAGCAATCCACCAGCGCCGCGCAGCTTTCGTGGCCCCTCCCAGAGGTCCCAGGCCCCACGGGCACGGCCATCTCCAAAAGGTGCACGCCATGAGGCCAGTGGGAACTAAAGTCACCTGGTAGGCTCTGGGGTAGGAACCCAGACTTGAAGGTGAGTCCAAACCTCTGGCAGCAAAATATTGGGCCTATCCAACTGATAACCTCTGGATAGAACCAGACTGAAACTCAAGATCGGATCGACAATCACCATCACCATCACCATCACCATCAACAACAACAACAACAACAGTGAGCCATGTTTGCAGAGGATGACAATGGGGAGTGCGAGCCCCTCCGCGCGTTGCAGAAAACATAGACAACCAGCCAACCTTGAACCATCAGCCAAGGGTATGAAAAGGGGCAAGGCATGGCCGGGCTGCTGCGTTCATCCCATGCCCGCTGGCCGCCAGATGGTTTGGCCAAAAAAAACATGCCAGATGGTGATGTGAATGGTGATCCCTGAATGCAATTCACGGTACTTCAACTGTTTGATGATCATTTCAACATGTGTCCATCATTTTCAACCCATCCCGCTCCACCAACAAGAAAACACATCAAACAATAGTTCAACACAAAAAAAACGGCTGAATTAAAATGTCACGAACCTGAGATATAGCCATTTTTGGGATAATTAACCTTACTGACCATCATTTCAGAAAAAAAACATCAACATCCGAGTGAAACTCCATTAGAATTTTCCACAAGTGACAAGCACCGATCGCCATGGCAACGGGGCGATCGAAGGCTTCCGCGTTCAGCGTCGCGAAGCTTTTCATGGCCTCGGAGTGTTTGGCGAATTTGGGTCAAAAACGGGACATGGACAAGAACTATCTTCATGGCAAGGTCCTATGTTGGTTTAAAATGGTTTAAAACTATTCACCCAAGAATTCAGCTGACAATATCTGACAATACTTGGAATACAAACAACACCCAACAACAATGATAGGAATGGTTCGGTCAATTGCCTTCATCCAAAGCCACATCCAGCAACCCCCATGGCAAGCCCCGCAACGCGACGGCCCAAGGGCCGAGTCGCGACGTCCCAAATGCCCGCCCTCCTTGCAGCGCTGAGCATCGCCCCAACAGCTTCGATGCCCGGCCGCAGCATGCGGCTACCCATGGACTGCAACAGGGTGGCCTTGGTTGGCCATGTGGGGATAGTACTGCCCGTCTCCCACATGTTACATTCGTCAAAGCTTTTCTGTGTGGATTACTCGGAGTGGAGGACAGGTCGTGGATAGGTCAGCCATGGTCGTACCCATCTAGAGATGGACTGACCATCGCTGGAGTTCTGCCAAGCTGGAGTTCGCCAGTTTTCACGACGCACACGAATTGTGAATAAGACAGGAAACGCGAGTATGAACTCAACGCACATGTTTATCGCACTTTTGCACTTAAAAATGATTTTCCCATATCTTCCCATTGGTAATGCAAATATATATATATATATGTGTGTGTGTTATATGTTATATATGTTATATATGTAGTTATATATGTTATATATGTTATATTTGTTATATATGTTATATATATATATACACAATATATAACACTCTGTGTTTCCCATGAATCATGATTCATGTGGGATTCACCCAATGCCACCATGGCTTTGAACCAAGTGTCCACCGTCTCCCATTGGGATGTGGCCGCGCTGGCCAGGGAGTTCCAAGTCACCAAGTCCGAACGCAGGGACCTGGCAGCTGCCAGGACTCGAAAACAGAAATTACTGGGGACGCTTCTCTTCAACAGAGAAGTAAACTTTTGACACTTTGAACTCACTGTTGTATATTCAAGCATATTCAAACTAAACACTTTAACCTTTTTTCTGATGTCATCTGAAACCGATCTGTTGCACTCACTAAAAACATCTAAAAAAAAAACAGGATTTTTCAGGGCCAGGGGGAGGATCATCCAAATGGAGCCTGGTGCTGTGTCTTTGTCTGTTGTATGGAAGCATCGGAAAAGAATCTGAAAAAAAAACCTGGCCCTCTGGCAATTGAACTTGGCTGATTTACCTTTTACCATCTGGTTATGACTAACAGTTAGCGAACTGGAAAATCACCATGCTATTAATAGGTAAACCATCTATTTCTATGGACCAGGGCTTCCATGGCAAACTGTTAGTCATAACCAGAGGGTAAAAATTGTGGTTTTCCAGTTCCCAACGGAATCCATGACAAGGAGCGCTTGACGACAGCCGCGAAGACCCAAAAACAGGGCCAGTTCCCAGTGGCCAATTCTATCACACCTGAGGCCCAATGATGGCTGAACACTGTGACATCTCCATATGCAGTATATGATATATGGAATAATGAATAAGCATATGGAAAATGGGATATCATATTTGTGAGTATCCATTATACTCATAGTGGCATAATGATATTTTTCATTGTATGGAATAATGATCTGAAAAATGGGATAAGAATATGGAACATAATGGAATAATGGATTTGTGGGAAGTTGCCGCCCTTTTTCATGGTTAATACTCAGCATATAGTTTATGGTCATCCATCTCACACAAGAAATCCTGACAATGGTTGTACATGGTTGTACACATCCCTACCAATAAGCTTATGCAATCTAACTGTTGGCCATGGCACATATGCTTGTTGATTGCAATCCGGGTTTGTCTAAACCTTGTGGGAAAACAACCCGGGCTTTACATGTCATGGAGAAGGAACGTCATCTTCCCCATCCTCTCATTTTTGGATAACCCCATCATCCCCCCACTTTTGAAGGGTAGAATTATAATTAGTCCCGTAAGTCATCCCGATGGGCGCCTCCTGAAATGTTGAGATAGGATGGGAAGATGACGTGATCCTATGAAAATGCCTGCCATGATAATCATGATACATTTTACCACGAAATCAAGCTACCTAAATCAACGAAAGCACCACCGCTTTCGACCGTTGAGCATGTGTTGGTGCCTGCGCAGCTTTCCGCTTTTTTTTTTCCTTTCCCCGTTTGGTTCAACTTCGTCCTTAATGAGGGAAACCCAAGAATAAATTGGATGAGATTTCCAGGAATGTGATGAGGCATTCTTTACTCCAACCATATTTAACAGTTATATAATACCCTCTGGTTATTTAACATGGCCATGGAAAATGGCCCATTTATAGATGGCTTACCTATTAAAAATGGTGATTTTCCATGGCTATGTTAAATAACCAGATGGTAGTACTTTCCAATTTTCCGGCATTGATTGGGTGAGTGCCAGAGTGCCAGAGTGCCAGGCATCTGGCATGAAAGTTCGTCAAATCTACCCGGGCACATTGACACCAAGTGGTTGTAAAGCACCACATCTGCACCTGCAGAAAGGCTTGGGGGCCTATTCTGGAGGCCTATTCTGAGGACCGTGTTGCATCAACCAAGATTGTAGGCAAAATCCAGGGGCCTATACTATGGTATACTATGGTATACTATGGTATACTATGGTATACTAGTTGTTATCATCTACAGTATCTATTGTTGAGGGGAAGCCTCTATTTTGATCAACCAACCAATGGGAATCGACGGTCAGGTCAACAAAAAAAGCTGCTGCCGTCATTGGCAGATAGTTCAAGATACGGGGGGTGGGCCTATCACTTAGTAAGTGCGTGCAATGACCCATGTGTACCCTCTGGTAAACATACAAAAAACTATGGAAAATCACCATTTTTAATGGGAAAACTCACTATAAATGGCCATTTTCAATAGCTATGTTAGTTTACCAGAGGGTAACTGGCGGTATGTTTCACATATAACCGGGTCATACTACGTTCATTGTTACCCCAAGTATCATGCGGCGGTGCCTGCAAGTGGCTATCTAAGTCTCCTTTGGAAGTGCTAAAACCGAGATCATCGGGTATCATCTGGGATATCACTCGGACTTATGGTGGATCCTGGAGATATCTGTAGTTGGATGGGGGTGTGACATGATTTAAACCATGATTTTAACCAACAAATATATACAAACAAAATATCAAATATATCATAATATATCTGTAGTTGGATGAGGATATAACTTATAACTATATTACTAAACACCAACTGGTTAATACTGGTGTATATGTGTAGTTTAATAGTGCTTTACATCAGTTATTAACCAACAAACATTAAACTGGTGTGGGGGGCCGCACCTTCCTGAGCCTGGGCCATGTGAAGCCCCAGTTGCCAGGACTTCAATCCTGGACAGCCAACTTGAATGGAAGCTTAACCGCTGGTAAACCAACATAACAGACATAACTATGGAAAATCACCATGTCCAATAGGTAAATATCATCTATTTTTCTATGGCCATTTTTTTAAAGTTCGCAAAGTCTTTTTTATTATTGCCAGAAGGGTCATGGAATCAAATCATGGGATAACCATCAAAAGTGATGGTTAAACATCTCCATGGGGAGAAAAAATATACCTCTTACCCAACTTTCCAGGTGGATCAGGGGAGTTACTTACTATATAAGTGCCCCTGCTGAGTTTGAAGATGTTTTTCCCTTCGACAAAAACCGCTATCCACTTTAGGACCTCCGGTAGTTTAATATCGTTAATATGTCTACGATTTATTTATTAAACGTTGCTATTTTTCCATGGCTCTGTCAGATTACCCTGTCAGATTACCGGAGAGGTACCCATGTTTACAGCCTCCGGGCGTTTAGCCTTTCCCGCCTCCCACCGAGTCAGGTCCACATGCACCCAGCGCAGCCGTCATGGTGATGAGGTTGGGCCGCAGCCGCCACTGCAAGGTCTCAAGCAGCATGGGAAGCTGCTGACCCTTGGCCAATGCATCCACCAAGACGCCTGAGAACCAGGCGCCCATAGGCCGAAATTTTCAGAGCCATGGGATACTACACCATCCTACACCATCCTACACCCACTTGGAACCCTTGGAACTGGTTTATGACAGCTGGGGAACCCATGTTTAAATGATAGCCCTTGAACTGCTGACATGTTTGGTGGTCCCAGCAGCTAGCCACCTGCTTCTGAGGCTACATGAAGGATAGAGGCTCCAAATGGGGGCAAAATCGAGGTTGCGATTTTCCGGCATCCAATGTCCACATTGTCCGCCAACAGAACTTCTCGACTTTCCAACCGTGGTCTAGAAACTTCACCGTCACCGTCCGGGCCTTGTAGCTGCGGGTCCGTTGACAGATATTCCACACGCTTCAGCAAACGCAATGAGAACAACCACTGCTGAGCCCTGCCACGTCAGCGATTTCAACTGGGAGAATGGCGACAAAATATGTCAAAGCCTCGATAATAATTGGAATGATCAGTACTTTCAAACAGCCCTACTGATCCCTGTTGGTAAAAACTGGGACTACACCGCTGTTAATTGGGGGATGGTAAGTGTCAACTGTTAAGTAGTTACACATAGAGAGAGAGAGAGACAGAGAGTTACTTAAACAACCGCCACCCCAAAAAAAAACATGATTGATAGTAGTTCTTGCACATATCTATATATAGATACCTATATATATATCGATATAGAGATATAGATATACCCTGGTTGCCCCCATCCCCCAGCCCCCCGGGGACCCCCTACCTGTTATAGGCCCCTGCCGCCGTCGTCACCAACCGCGCATCCATCGCCTCCGTCGCCTCCGTCGAAGTCAGCGCCGCCGCGCGACGCCACTGCGCAGCCAGGGTGCCGAGGGCTGCGGTGACCAGGCGCAAGGAGGGCTGCAGGGAGCGGTGCTGCAGGCACCTGGGCCAGAGCCTCTGGTAAACTAACAGCTAGCTATGGCCATTTTTGAGTAAATCAACTATAAAATCTATAAATAAATGCCTTTGAAGTACCCTCTGGTAATTTAACATGGCTATTGAAAATTGTTATTTATGGTTGATTTAGCTAGTAAAAATGGTGTTTTCCATAGCTATGTTAGTTTACCACAGGGTAATATGTTTAAAGAGCATGGTTTTTCCCAAGCAAATGACTCAACAAATCCAACGACGATGATTTGTATCATCCCCAAAATGACGAAAAACACTGGATGGGTGGGAAAATCGTAATTGTTATCATCCCCGAAATAAGTATGAATGGGTATGTTGATAGTAATGCCTATAAATGATAGTAATTTGTGATAATTTATAATGTGTAATTGATAGTAATAATGTGTAATAGCTATACTAGTGATGCGTATGTCTGTATGTATGATACCTCTATAGTATATGATACTATCTATGTGTATATCTGAAACCATCTGTGTATAGTATGTGCACTCTATCCCATGTAGCCATACTATTCACATCTGTTGGGATTAGCATGTGTTTTTGTAATCCCACATGGGCACCATCGCTGATATGTACTCCCTGTAGTAATCCATGGAATATAACTGAAATTAATGGAACGACTACCCTCTGGTAATTTAACTCAGCTAACGCAGCCATGGTCCATTTATAGATTATTTATGATGATTTACCTATTAAAGATTGTGATTTTCATTGATTTTCCAGTTCGCTACGTTGAATAACCAAAGATTATGCTAAAAGCAATCCCAAAACAGAAAAGCGGGAATAGAAAATTGAAGTAAATACCATGTTTTTCACATCCTGGTTTCACACCGTTCGGCATCTTTTGGGGGTTGCTGTATCGCTATCATGTGGGAAAACTTTTACAGCTCCCCACAGCTCCCCAGTAAGGAACAGAGATTTTGATTTGGTCTGAAAATGGTTTTCTTCCGCATGTTCCCCATTAACATAGCCACAAATTGGGGTCTGTGCCATAGTCAGACACATAGATTCCATAAATCCGTGCGTGCTTGTGAGTGTGTGTGTGTGTGCATATGTACCCTCCGGTCATCAAATGTAGTAACCGTAGCAATGGGAAATCCACTATAAATGGAGGTTTGAATGGGTTTGAATGGGAAAATCATGGAACATCATCCGCAAATGGGAGATTTTCATAGATTTTCCATTGCCACGTTTGATTGCCGGAGGGTCATCGAGATGTTCCCACAGCCGCCCTTCTCGTTAAGTCACGCCATTAGAGAACTCACCATAGGCCACAGTGCCGCCTACCAGGGAGGTCGAAGAAGGGCTGGGATGGGCTAGTCCAATTCATGGTATCCGAATGGTATCCTGGATATCCTACAGTCCTACAGCTGGTTGGCGGTTGATTCACCCTATGGCAATCATGATGGCATTTTTTGGAGTTTTTGACCCATCCCGAGATGATCCACTGATAAACTACTGGACAGCTTTGGGAGTTGATCTTTTTCCCAGGTGAAGCCCCCCTGTCAAGTCACAAAAAAAGTACACCTGTCACAAATGATGAAAATGGATGAAAATGGATGAAAATGGAACTTTCATCACCAGATATCACCAGAAACATTGCTAAACAACGTCTGTTAAATCATGCTGACACCTCTGGGCCAAACCACGATGGAATGGATGCTGTGGATCTTCCATCCCCAAACAGAAGCCGCACCGACTGATGGGCAACTTTCCCAAAATAAGTCCATATGGTCCATATTGATAGCAACATTTTCCGGTCATTTAAATGCTTTGAATGTGGCTTTAAAAAAACTTTTTATGTTCATGATGACGTCATGTGGGATTCACCCTGGCTGCCATAAACCTAGCATGACTGGGAATGGTTTCTACAGAAACCCATTGGGCCCATGGTGATGTCTTGGGGAAGGCCATGACCCCAACCCCCAACCACTGTCCAACCACCGTCCGAGGAAACGCCTTGCCGTAGCCTCCAGCCGCCAGGGCGGCGGCATCCGTGACATCTCGGCTGTCTCCCTCTCGGTGAAGCTTCAATTCCAGCTGCAGCAAGGATTGCCTTCAATCTGCATTCAAAAATGGATGGTTTATAATGGACAAACCATCTAATGGATGGGTTTTTCTAGGTTTTTGTAGGGTTTCTGAACTAAAAATAATCCATAATTAATTCAATGGCCATCTCAGGAACCGATTGATTGGAGGTACCTACCATAAGGCCTATGTTTTAGGGCTTAATTTCAGGGAATATCCCCACATATTTTGTGGCCTGGTACTAACGTACCTCCATTTTAGGATCTTGAAATTCCCATTGATGAAAGGGTGCCCGAAGTCTGAAAAAAAGACCTAAGATCATCCAAGATCTAAAAATATCCCCTGCCACCGGCCAAAGGGATGATGGCTAGCTATATGTTTTTTGACTTTTGTTCACCCATCTTTGCTGCCATACAGCCGAGTTATCATGATAGGGCTACAACAACTTGCAACATGCTATGGCCATCTGTGACCGTGGTTACTACTGGGTGCAACCATTAAATCGGCCCATATCATCCCTTTTTGGTACTATGATGTCCAATCTTTTTCAGGGTCGCTCCCAACACCCAAGATCCAAGGCTGGCTATTCATCCCAGTATATCCTCATGATTCCCCATTCATATTCCATGAAACCACTATTTAAAAGGTTTCCTAAAATGAGGGCACTCCCCAATCATCGAAAAATCGACCGTTTTAGTATTGAAACCCACTGTTTTGGGGATTTCTGAAGGTTAAAAAAAAAACTCCCGAAACTCACCACCACGCCACGCCCGTCGCCAGCCAGCGATCCGCAGCGCGCTGTGCCGCGCCGCCGCATCCGGCTGCAGGCGACGAGCTCCGAGACTGTGAAGACCATGCAGGGCGTGGGGCCAGAGCGGGGCGGACAGCGAGGCAAAGAGAATGGTGTACTCCTGGCGACATGGAGGAGCTTCTCATTTTAACAATGGGAAAAAAACGAAGCTCGGCATTTTGTGGAGGTATGGGATGTATATGTGATGTGTACATGCATATCTCTATATCTATATATATATATATGTGTGTGTGTGTGTATGTATTTGTTCATTTATTTATCTATTTAATATTTATGCATTCATTCATTCATTTATTTACTGATGTATACATATACACACATTGCATGTGTGTGTGTGTGATATGATGATGGCGTGCAAGGTGGTACCCCAGATCGCTAGCCAAGTGATTGCAAATAGCTAGGTGGGCGAATGGGTGTACAGTAGAAAATCGGTCATGGGCCATTGCCATCTGGTTATGACTAACAGTTTGCCATGGAAAATCACCATGCTATTAAGAACGGTAAACCATCAATTTCTATGGGCCATCTATACCATGGCTATGTTAGTCATAACCAGAGGGTAATTAGGGTTTATAAACTAACTTATAACTGGCCGTACCTACTCCCGGTGGTTGCCAACCATGGATTATTTGGCAATATCACCCACAAAAATGGGACAAATGGTGAGATAATCGGGAGCTCATTGGATGTCGTTATTTTGGGTTACGGTTCCTGGTTGTTGTCATAATGCATAATTGGTGGCTTGGTTTCAGAAAGCTCAACGGTGGCAAGGAAACGAACAATATCCAAAAATTAGATACGGAGATAGAATGGTACTGTGATATCTCACGGGAATATCATGCTATGCGCATATTTAAAAAATAAATTCAACTACATATACTATCGATATGATGTTTCAAGGGGGAAATCTAGAGACGATTTGTAGGAAACCATTGGGACCTACAGAAACTTGTGGGTTTATAAATTGATAAATTATCCATTTCAGAAAGGCTTCCAGGAACTCAAATAACTCAAATCCGTGGCGCATCATGCAGCAATAGGCCAACCACAATGGGCACTCTTTACCCATCTTTACCCTAAGGCCCTAAGGTTTTGTCTTGATACTTTGATTCAAATATGGTTCTGACGCCCACAATAACTGCGGGCAAAATGTGGGTGAATTGATGTCAGATGGGATTCTGCGGCGCCATTTTTTTTAACTGGCGCCCATAATCACCATCCTTCAGCCAAGTTGGCTACGCATGCGATTACAAAAAACCTCACAAATGGTTGGGGTGAATTCTGAAAATCGAGGATTTTCACCAAATTTTGCACCAAATTTAATAATTTTGCCATGTGTTTAATGAAAAAAAAAAACATGGTAAATCACTAGATTTGCAGCTGCCTTTGTGTTTTCAGACAATCCAAACAGGCCTGGTACTGAGAACATCGACGCCATGGTTGCAGTGGAAATCTCTTGGGTACTGTAAGGACTTCTGCACACCAGAGTGATGGTCACTTGGGCCAGTATCAATATTGATCATGTGGGTAAAACAATATGTCATAAACCATCCCCCAGTCATCACCATCAATATATGTGGTATGTTGCCATTCCCAGTCATGGCTGGTTTATGATTGTTTTACCCACATTTGTAGTAATGATGATGTAATGATAATAGTCAACATCAACATCGCCATAGGGCACAGCTTCCCCGTCCTTCAGAGTGAGATCATATCTTTTCAGCGCCTCGACTGTCTTCAGCAGTTCCTAGGAATCAACGAGCCAATCACAGCCAGGTGGTGAAAAGCTGGGGGATCTCTCATGAACCCTGGATACCCTGGTTGATTGCGGGTTGACCTTTACGAAAAGTGATGATTTGCTACGAAAATCATAGCAATCAAACAGCCCAGGGGTTCTTTGAAAAAATGGAGGTTAACATGGACAAGAATGAGGAGTTGCACAGCAAAGCACAGGAGGTTCATTGGCAAGAGTTGAGGTACATCCAAAAGCGAGGATATTATCCAAAAGCTCAGGGAATCACAAAGGTTCAAACTGCCCCCTTCCTACCTAAGTTAATGTTCATTTAACCCTGACGAACAGCTCCAGTGACAATGGAGCTGTGAGTTTCTGGTGACTATCCACGGATCGCCGGGATGACGTAGTCATCTCAAATTGGAGGCTTCCGAAAATGGGATACCCCCAGTCATCATCCAGTCGTCAAGGATGACCATTTACCATCTGGTTATGACTAACAGTTAGCGAACTGGAAAATCACTATGCTATTAAGAACGGTAAACACCATCTATAAATCTATGGGCCATCTATCCCATGGCTATGTTAGTCATAACCAGATGGTAATTGGAGTCTTGAACCCCATGTTCACTTGGGGATCACTTGGGCAAAGCCTCCACTCTCTTCGAGCGCTCAAAGCGCTCGGAGCCTTTACCTCAGATCTTTCTCCGATGGGAACCCACTGGAAGAACGTACCAACTGGGGATACGACCTCTCTGAAAATTGTGATGAAATCAAAGAATTGGGTACCACGGTACAAACCTATGAAGTTCGAGAAAAAAAACATGAAAGTAGAGGTCATGAACATGATCATTCCGATGAAAATTCGGACATATACACCACACCTAAATTCGATGAAAATGAGGATGCATCCAATGATGGCGTTGAAATCACGCCTGTCATGACCGGTAAGATTTGTAACTTGGGCCCTTGGGTGAACAGACCCCAGCGCAGCCTAGCCTTTTAACAACTCCGAGGCATGCGGGTCATCTACCTGGCCATCTACCTGACCATCAATCGCAGTCGCAGGGTCCCAAGGGTCGGTGACAAATCTTGAAGCCTGTCATTCTCACGCTGTAGTCTGCGTACCATTGAATGATGCTGTTGGGCTCCGGCACCTGGAAGAAAGTGGAACCAGAGTTCTTAATCAGCCATCAGCTTCGCTCATTGGGTCTGTTTCCATACAAATCACCATTGATATCATGATGTGTTTCATTGGGCTGGGATGATTCTCGATATTTGTTGAGTTGCTGATCTGGGGTTGTTTTTCCCATGCTTCTTTCTCTTGACATTGATGTCCACCATTCGTCCCGATCCTGCTCTGGAGATGTCATCCCCACCTTTCCATGAGGAGTAGAGGAGCCACTGAATGCCACATTATTGACAATCACAAAGTCATAGCCAGCTTCCACATTGAAATCCTGTGGCTGCTGAGGCTGCTGGTTAAGAATATCCGAATTTGATTTGGTCGAATGGTATCATCATCCCATCAAATAGGATGGAACACCAAAAATCAGCCGGCACGGTCCTCCACTTCCATCGCCACCTTTTCCTTGACGTCAAAGCTACAGGCAGAATGATCCTGAGGGCGACCAGCTGGCACGAGCCTTTTTCCGTGGCATCCTGCTCAAACCAATGTACCATTTTTGGTTGATTGCAGTTGTATCATGTTGTATCATGTTACTAGTATATCTAGTTACATTCATCCCATGAACCCATCGTGCAGGTGCCCCACCAACATCAAGCGGACGAGGATCAGGGTACAGGTTGCCTAGGAAGGGGTCATAGTCAGGGCTGCTGATGCACCCTGCTGCATCCACCTTGCAAGGGCCTGAAATCAACTCCCACGGCTGGGCGCTGGTCGTTGTGGCGGTCGTCGTCGCATTGGTGGTGGTGGTCGTGGTGGTGGTGGTGGTCGTGGTGGTCGTGGTCGTGGTGGTGGTCGTGGTTGTTGTCGTAGTTGTCGTAGTTGTAGTAGTTGTAGTTGTGGTCGTGGTCGTTGTCGTTGTGGTGGCGCTGATGGTTGGGAACTCGCAGTAGCCCCAATTGGTGCCCTGGCACGCAACGTCCTGGACCCAGCAAAATGGACCAAAGCTATAGCCATGGTTTTGACAACTAGTGGACAGTCGCACTTCCGGTCGCTGGTGAAAGGTACAACTTCCTTCGCCAGGGCTTCCACACCTTGCCAGCTTCAGAATGATGTCATGAGTCAAGTTGGAACAATAAAATCCATGAGGAATTGGGCATGTAACCTGCAACAAAGGGTAAAATGTGGAAGGGCCAATGGTGCAGGATACATCCTTATCCTTGGGCCTTTGGGTTTGGCTTGGACTCCTTAGCTCCTTAAATCCTTTCGAGTTTGAAGAACTCGGCCACTCGAAATAAAGACATAGGTCGCATCTATGACATTTTTGACATCATGTTCAAGAGAATCAGGGGCGCCCTTAAGGACAACCACTAAGGTCAACCAGCAGCTTAGTTGGGTCATGTTGAGTTCAGCCATTTTCAGCCCATCCCAAACAGTTTCGCCAGGCACTGGTGTACTCAGTGGAAGGGTTCAGCCCAGAGGTAGGGCTGGAGCTGTTCCCTTCCAATGGAAAGCTGTAGCCCGAGCTGTCACCCGCCAAGCTATGGCTGGGTATTTGGAAGTCTGTGAGGACCTTGGATGACAACGATGCCATGGGAACCCTCCAAAAGCGGATTTGGAGTAATTGTTTATGTGTCCAATCCTTTGTAATCTGTTCGGACAGATGATTTTTTCTGTCGTGTCTCATCTTTTCTGCCTTTCTTCGGGCTGCTTCTATACCCCCAAACCAAACGGTTAAGTGCGGAAGGCCTAAGATCTAAGACCTAAGATGACAAACATCGGTGGTCTGCAGGTTGTAGACGACGTTTGCCCATATCCATGTAGATATAAGTGTTGGATTCGGAACAAAACAGGAATGTAAGCGCAACAAACCTAGGGATGAAAAGGGCATGGCCACATTCCGCAGATTAACTGTATCTCTGGTGGAAGCTGCACGGATATCGGTCTGAAAACCCAATCTTGGAAAGATTGGAACGTACTGGAAATATTTAAATCAAACCTGTCGGCCAAGTATAGAACAGGCCAACGGGTTGCCTCCCATGATGATCCTAAATCATCCTAAATCCCGAGTCCTTTGCTGCAAACCAGTTGCCATGCTGCTTTATATCATGTTGCTAAAAATATCATTATCCAATTATAACCATGATGTTTATCATTTTTATTACTACCATTATTATCTTATTATATCTTATGATTTTAGATATTATATCTTAGATATTATTGGATATTATTACTAGATGCAGTAGATATTATTAATAATTATTATTATTAACCTCTGGTTATTTAACGTGGCTATGGAGAATCACCATTTTTAATAGGTAAATCATTCAAAAACATCTGTAACTGGGCCATTTTCCATGGCTATGTTAAATAACCAGAGGGTAGATATTATTCAATATTGCTGGAGCATCATTAGCCATCATTAACCATAATTAACCATCATTAATCACCATTAACATAGTAACATAGTAACATTACTAATAGATATTATATAGACATTATGAGCATTGTGTCTATACCATCTACATCCATAGTATCATTCCCATTAATCACCATTAATCACCATTCTGATACACCATCCATCACTATTGCGAGTATTGTGTCTATTACCCTCTGGTAATTTAACAGTTTGCTATTGAAAATGGCCATAGAAATAGTGGATTTTCCCATTAAAAATGGTGATTTTCCATTGCAAAATGTTAAATTACCAGAGGGTAGATATTATTCAATATTGCTGGAGCATCATTAACCATCATTAACCATAATTAACCATCATTAATCACCATTAACATAGCAACATAGTAACATTACTATTAGATATTATATAGACATTATGAGCATTGTGTCTATACCATCTTAATCCATAGTATCATTCCCATTAATCACCATTAATCACCATTCTGATACACCATCCATCACTATTGCGAGTATTGTGTCTATTACCCTCTGGTAATTTAACAGTTTGCTATTGAAAATGGCCATAGAAATAGTGGATTTTCCCATTAAAAATGGTGATTTTCCATTGCAAAATGTTAAATTACCAGGGGGTAGATATTATTCAATATTGCTGGAGCATCATTAACCATAATTAACCATCATTAATCACCATTAACATAGCAACATAGTAACATTACTATTAGATATTATATAGACATTATGAGCATTGTGTCTATACCATCTACATCCATAGTATTATTCCCATTAATCACCATTCTGATGCACCATCCATCGCTATTGCGAGTATTGTGTCTATTACCCCCTGGTAATTTAACAGTTTGCTATTGAAAATGGCCATAGAAATAGTGGATTTTCCCATTAAAAATTGTGATTTTCCATTGCAAAATGTTAAATTACCAGAGGGTAGATATTATTCAATATTGCTGGAGCATCATTAACCATAATTAACCATCATTAATCACCATTAACATAGCAACATAGTAACATTACTATTAGATATTATATAGACATTATGAGCATTGTGTCTATACCATCTACATCCATAGTATCATTCCCATTAATCACCATTAATCACCATTCTGATACACCATCCATCACTATTGCGAGTATTGTGTCTATTACCCTCTGGTAATTTAACAGTTTGCTATTGAAAATGGCCATAGAAATAGTAGATTTTCCCATTAAAAATGGTGATTTTCCATTGCAAAATGTTAAATAACCAGAGGGTAGATATTATTCAATATTGTTGGAGCATCATTAACCATCATTAACCATTAAAAATGGGTGATTTTCAGGGTCTATGTTTATTTACCGAGGGATCCCCAATAGCTGGATGGTTTACCTGGGTTTACCTATTAAAAATGGCCATTTTCAATAGCTTTTTGTATGTTTACCAGAGGGTATATGTACCACATCCATAGTCACTCCATACGACCTGATCGCAACCAGGCGTCGCAAAGGCCCACCTTGAAAGTTCCCCTGACTCCCCAGCCTTCGCCCCAAGAGTTCAGACCTGCGGAAAACCCCGCGCCACGGGTGATGCCATGGCCATGGGGGCCATGGGTTTCCCCAGGTTTGCCCCAAAAAACATGGGAAAACGCCATGGTTTCCCCAGGTTTCTTGGAGTTTAACATAGTTTCATATATGTTTAATATGGGGATTCATGGATTTTCCAGCATGTTTTTAAAGCCCAGATTTCTGAAACAAGCTGTGGATCATTGTGGAAAATTGTGGATATGCGATGATGTGACTCTGGGGTTTAAGCTTGAAATCCCAATTGAAGAGTTGCGGATGTTTCATTGCCCCAAAGGCGATTTTGTCTGTGGAACACTGGCAAACCTCATGCCACCCTAGGCACTGTCGATATACAGTATATGTAGACAGGCACTCAAATCAATAAATAACTGCATATGGACAATTACGTAAAATACAGTAATTAATAATTCGTTACATAGATACCAAAGTGGTATCTAAATGGCTTGTCATTTGATAGCATACACCATCCGATAAATTACACATGAAGACATGGCCATGATTTTCCACATAGGACATGACAGTAGTGAAGCCCTAGTGACTAGTGACACCGTGACGCATCCCCAATGTTTGCACCTCATCTGGATACCCTCTGGTAAACATACAAAAAACTATGGAAAATCACCATCTTTAATAGGTAAATCAACTATAAATGGGCAATTTTCAATAGCTATATTAAATTACCAGAGGGTAAATTCACCAGCCAGCCTGATTTTTGGGATAGTTACCCCAACCCTAACCACTATTCACAGTGACGTGAAAAACCTGAGGTCGTGATCAAATGCGTCAAAATAAACCGTCCAATAAATCACCAAAACATCCCCATAGCACATCATTATGCCGCCATTCTTGTTTGTTAAGTCATCATTCTAAAGGTCAAATTCTTTGTTTACCGAGGTGTTCTTCTCATCCTTCTACCAAGCAGCAGTTCCAATAGTCCGGGCCGTAGCCCACCACCGTAATGGCATGGTTGGCACTGCTGTCGCAGCCATGGGTGTAGATGCCACCACCATAGGCCATGAAACCCGAATCTGCATAGAGGTAGGCAGGGATGGGTCCACCCTGCAACAAAGCCTCCCGTGCCAAGTGGTAAACCTTCTCGGGGTAGGGATGGTAGTAACTGGCGATGGTGATGTATTTGCCTGGGCAAAATACAGCTGGGAAGTCAAACATCGATTCGGTGTTTGAACATTTTATGGAAGTAAGTTCTTCAGATGATTGATGCATATTGATGCAACTAATTTTGATCCATCTTAGCATCAAAAGGTTTGGGGATCAGGGATTTGCGAACCATACCCAAGTGATGGCAAAACTGGTTTTGGGGAAGTTCGACCTTCACCAGACTCATCACAGCAAATTTTTTCATCAAGTCTCCAAGTCGGAAGGTTCCCGAGCGGAAGACCCCTCCAAAAAGATAAAACTAAAAAATAACTCAATATTATTCAATATTGCTGGAGCATCATTAAACATCATTAACCATCATTAACCATAATTAACCATCATAAACCATAATTAACCATCATTAACCATAATTAACCATAAGTAACGTACACCTGACCCTATATGGGTTTCAAGCAAATTCACCAAATCAAAGGATAGTTTGTTTGGGCCAAAGGTGCGAGTGGTCAAGGTGAATTTGTCCTCCCCGAGCGTTCGTCCGAACCCACTGTTGCCACACTGCGTGGGACATGGTGGCGCACTGCCACTGACGGCGAAATGTTCCGTGCCCTCGCCATGGCCGAAGTAGGGGTGACAGCCCAAATCACCTGCCATCCAAACTGGTTCGGAATGGCCTTCCTTTTCTTCCATTGTTCCCTGGCTTTCGTTCTTTCTCCTGTCCTTCCCTCGCATTTCTTCCTTTCGTTTCCAGTTCCTAGTTTTTTTGGGGGATTGGATAAGTTGTTGGACAATGATTTTTAGGTTGTGATTTTCATGATTTTCATTGTGTGCACATGCCGTGGAACTTATGCCCTTGCCATGTTTGCGCAATGGGGTCCATTTCGTTTCCTCACAAAAAACATGAGCATCGAACCTCCGGTGGGCACTCCTCCTCCAGCCATCAGGTCAAAGACCCAATCCTTAGATATCCGTTCCCAGGTATGGGACGTGGTGGTTCCCAAAACTCAAAAACTAGTAAATTGTGATTTTCCATAGTTTTTTGTATGTTTACCAGAGGGTATATCATATTGGGAATCAGAGTGCCCCGTGGGAGAATCCAGAATATCCAACAATGGTTGGTCTGACCTGTACCAATTCAAAGCCCTCGGGTCCATGAATCTTTGCGAACTACTCAGTGGGAGGAAATATGTTGGCTAAAACCTCATTTTTGTGGTTTGAAAACTTTTTGGGGGGATCCTTTTTCCGAGCGAATTGAGGAGCGCCCAACACAAAATAAAATCATGCCATCTTAATCAAACAATGAAACCTTCCTTGCTACAGCTCCACAAGCACACCCCCGACAATACGAATTCCAGCTGATGCCACTTGAACCGAAAACCAAGTGCCACTGCAATATTTGATCTTATTGGTTCAATAACCATGTTTCTTTGGATGTGAATCGAATCTAGCAAGTGGCAAATAATCCGTATCCTGGGTGAGCTGTTTAATCATAGCCACCACTCACCACAGACCAACAGAGATGCACATCCAAATGCAGACACCTGGTTTTTCCTCCCCATTATTGTTTCATATTGTTTCATCCTAGCTGCCATTAATTCCTAATTTTTGTTGATCCAACTGGGCGCACATCCTAGCTAGCAAGTTCCAAAAGAATGCATGTAGACATGCATAACTACATTGGATGTATTTTGAACTTATGATCTGGGTTTGTCACTTGCACGTGGGTGGTTGCAAAATATATGTATGTGTGTACGTTTGCATATACCACGCACAGATATAATAAGCATACCTGCACACATACCTTTGCAATGATCTGCTGGCGTTTATCCTATTTATCAGTCCCCGATTTGGGCGTCTCAGAAAAATACACCCTATACATTTCAATAGTGGAAAAAACAGGTTCACTCTCATTTAATGACCGTACATTCGGCGTATAACAATCTCTCTTTTGGACAAACCCATCTTACTGTTCGCTGTAGGCCGTACCCCATTTGATCTCTACCATTGTTGGTCTTATGCCCCCTGGTTTGGAGGAAAAAAACAAGTTTTTAACTCAAACCGGCATAAGAATGGGGATCTAAGATGTCTACCAACAAAAACAAGGCTACCCATCGAATTTCAACATCAAGTTTCCATTCTCTCCCATCTCTCCCAATAAGGGTTTGTCTGAAAATAAGGTGCGGTACAACTACATTCACTGGATAACAACAATTTTCCATCTGAAATTACCCAGTATCGTTTTTGGGCATACTTCATCCTCATTTTCGGACAACCCCAACTTGTATATAATTGGGCCACTATATCCCGCCATAACCTTATTAATATACCATCAAACCACTAAATTTACCATACCACCAAACTGACCCAAAATTCGGTTTTGTGTCAGTTTTGTAAATTAATATATCAGTCGTATCCCATGATATTCCCTTCAAATCCTAATTTTCTATGACTAAACGACCATGTTCATCTATCATTTGGTGGGGAAACTCTAAATAGCTCCTTTGCCCCCCATTTAGTGGGGAATATATAGGGAACCTGAGAAGGGAGGAACGAAAGCCAGGGGAGTGCGGAAGAGGTATGAGAGGAGGACTGAGGATAGAGGAAGATAGAGTAGATATGGAAGAGGAGGTGCAAGGGGAAAGGGAACACGAACCAGCCTTTTCGTCACCCCTTTCCAAAGCTTCCTAATTTCACATCCCTGACAGAAGTTCCTTCTCCATACCTACTGTGCCTCCATTCAAGGACCCTTACGGGCGAAATTTCCTCCAGGGAACGGACCAAGAAAAATCTGTTTCAGACAACCATGTTTGCAATCGTTGCGCCCATAATGGCCCCACATCGGAGCCCGACAGAAAGGGGTAGAAGAGTAATAAAGTCACCGTCTGGCAAGGAGATAGATAAAGAAAAGTAGCCATTGAGTTCCCACCTTTCCAAGCAATGCCTTTGCCCTCATCCTGTTCACCCCTCCTTTCCCTTGTGTTTTAGGCAGTTGCGGAGCTTGAGCTATGTATTGCGCTCAACCATCTAGTACGCAAACCAGCCATTGAGCTCCAGCCTTTCCAAGCAATGCCTCTGCCCACATACCACATCTACGTTCAGCTCAATGCTTTTCCAAGCAATACCTCTGCCCTCCTCACTCACTCTCCTTTCCCTTGCCTTCTGCTTGACTTCCCTTACCCTTCTTCGTGTCCTTGCTTTCCTTCTTCGCAGCCCATTCCTCTTTCCCACTGCCTCGATGTTCGGCAAACCTATCAATCCCCTCCCCGCCCACCCTCTATCAATGCAGGCGACATTCCCTCCAGGGAACGGGCCAGGAGAAGTTTGTTTCAGACAACCATGTCCACACGCGTTTATCCAATCGGAGCCCGACAGTTTGGGGGCAGAAGAGTCAACATAAAATGGTGTGAAGTTTCTGGATCCTGAGCTATGTACAGCGCTCAGCCATCTGGTGGCTGAAAGGACATGGAGAAAAGCAACCATTGAGCTCTAGCCTTGCCAAGCAGTGCCATTGCCCTCATCCTACTCGCCCTCCTTTCCCTTGCGCTTGCCGTGTACGTTTCCCACAACCCACTTCTGCCTCAACCATTCTGGTCTCTCATATCGCCTCCCAAAATGCACCTCCAGGGGACGGACCAGCGGGGAACCGATACCCCACCGTCACCCAATTGCCACCTGGTACATGTCCTTCAAAAGTGCTCAAAAAACACGGCGAATTCCGTGATTTTGGGTACCTTTGGCACGCTCTGCCCCCAGACCCCCTTAACTCACTTTGTTCGCAAAAAAGAAACTTTGCCTGGCCTAGCGGCTGGCTTTCGCAGTATGGATACCCATAGCTCCTTAGCTCCTTCCTAACCTATAACCATCCACCAACGGGATCTAGCAGCCACTGCCCAATTGTAGTTCTCCAAGGTGCTGACCATCCGCCCTGGCAGCCATCCCCGTTGTTGGGTGGAGCGCAGGAAGCCACGAAGCCCCGCGAGAGCTGCGCCCTTGGGCCGCTGAAGACGCCCTTTGTGGCGATGCAGAGGCGGGCGTCCAAGGCAGAAGATGCTCCGAAAGCCCAACAACTGCCACATTGACCTGTCGAAATGGGGGAAAAGAAACGGAAAAAAATTCTGGATCTATCGACATGGTTGGGGAATCGAAAAAATGGTGGGGGCGACAAGAAATAGATGGGAAATGAAAATGGAATATTTTGTTGGCGGGGATTGATGGAAAGGTAATGGACAAGAAATGGAAACAAATGGAAGCATGTGGAAATGAATTCAAGAAATCGGACCTTGTGAAAAGCGCACACGCATCTTGTCACCGAAAACAGCTGTTGATTTGGAAACCTAAAGATTTTCAGAAAGGCTTGTTGCCAGCGCTGAAGTCACCAATTGTTTGTATATATTCACGTTTTGTCGATATATTACATGATCTGAAGTAATATTATGTTTTTCTTGTCCATGCACAAGCCTTTTCTAGTAGAAATGCAAAAAGGCTTGTTGTGGGCGTGCAAAGGGCAATTTTTCCCCAAATGCATTACCTGGTCTCAAACAATATTGGCCTTTTGCTGTCCATACACAAACCTTTTCTAGTGGAAATGGAGCTTAGAATGGTTAACCATCCAAATTCAAACCAAATTATCCCGGCAAGAGACCCCAAACAGTGTGCGGGAGTGGAAGGATAATGTATAATAATGAATGATAAAGTGTGATAATGATGATGATGATGATGATGATGATGGTGATGATGATGATGATGATCGTGATGATGGTGATGATGGCGATGATGATGATGATGATGATGATGATGATGATGATGATGATGATGATGATGATGATGATGATGATGATGATGATGATGATGATGATGATGATGATGATGATGATGATGATGATGATGGCGATGATGACGATGATGACGATGATGATGATGATGATGTGTGGTGGTGGTGGTGATGATGAGGTGGAATTAAGAGGATTCTTGTGTGGAAGATGAAGTGGAGGATGATAAGGTGGAGGATGATGATGTAGAGAAGGATGATGATGATGATGATGATGATGATGATGGTGATGATGATGATGATGGTGGTGATGCGGAGGAGGAGGAGGAGGAGGCGGATGAGGATGGTTGAGGAAGAAGACCGATCCCAAGACCGGGACCCCCACTTTGTGCGAGCCTGCGCGGTCGAAATGCACTTCAACATGTCACAAGAGCCACTTTATACGGAAATTTACCAGAAAAATGCCGCGCCCCAGAAGCGGGACCCACACACTTTGTGCGAGCCTGCGCAGTCGAAATGCATGTCAACATTTCGCAAGAGCCACTTTATATGGAGATTTACAGGAAAAATGCTCGAGACCAGAGTGAGCACCCTGATCAGGCACCGGCCTTTACATACTGCAAGAACCCCTCAGTGTGGACACACGTTTTGGGGAAAAAACAAATAATGTTTTGGGGACTGCTTGGATCTAGGCATGTTCAGACTAGGACGTCCAGCATGCCGCATGGAGACTGCAAGAGTTCGCAATGTGGCAAGGACGACGGCATGAGGACAGGAAGGCGAAGGAGACAAAGCCGGACACGTTGCCATAAATGAAAAATGAAGATAAGTAGGGTTGTGACAAGGGATGTGAATAAATACGAAAAGAATATAAAAGTGATTGAAAGAGTATGGAAAAATATGACGTGCGCGAAAAGATGGAGGAAAGAAACACGATTAGGCATGGTGGATATAGAAGGTTGGTTGATTAGGGCTCAAAGCCGAAATGAGACATGCAGCGAGATTTTTATCATTCCTCCCTATCAACAAATGTCACAGATAATTGTCCAATGGATATCATTGGTGATCCGATTCCCCCTCTAAGTGTTCCCAAATATGCGTAAATCCCCTGCTAAAACCAAGGTTTTGGCTGATGTTTTTTTATATGACCGGGGGAAGGGATTCCACCTTGGTTGTGGATGCGCATGATGATCTCCGCACATTCGGGCCATTCGCTGGCAGATTCGAAGCTCGCAGGCAGACTGCGGGTCATGATGTTGTCAGTGATCGCATGGGTTTGCAGCATGGACGCATTCACCTGTCTCGGTGGGATTCCATGGGGGGCTTGGGATCAGAATCAAACCAACCATTCAGAAGGTGGCTTTCTCGGTGAGGGTATAATAGGGTCCTACAGCCACCCCATTTTTGGGCAAACAAATCCCACAGTAGTCGAACATCGCCAGATACACACCCATTACATTCCATGATGGATATCCTCGGGAAGGTTGGTTTTATACTCTACCCTACCCCGCTTTTCTTCGCTAAAGGCCCAAGTTTGGATAAACTCAAATATCCAACCAAAACAACAGATTAACAAATGATTCACCATTACACCATACGTTTCTACCAACCATCATAATTACAGTACATCCCAGACAAAATCCAGAACAACTTCCATTCCCCACGATATTTCTTGGCATCGCACTGTTGCAAGCTTCATCTAGACCCGCATAAATCCACCTAAATCCACCATATCCATCCATATCCACCAGCTTTTCCTTATCAAATCAGCACCGTCCCCCCAATTTCCCCCCGGTGCGGTGCTGCACCGTCTCATCCGTATGGGTGATCCCTGTGCGCCGCTGGAAATCCGCCGCGGAAAAGTTGGCCAACCAGGCGGTGAAGTGCAGGGTGTAGCTGGCCTCGGTTTCTGGGATTTCTGGGAATGGAATGGGACTATATCAACCATGAGGGATATGGGATATGGAATGGATATGGAATGGAATGTTTCCCAGAAATCCCTCAATGGAATGGAATGGGGCTATTTCTATATCATGATCTCCTCAATTTTCATCATTTTGCATGGTTTCCAATCCCATCACCCTAATATTAAACATCATGTGGGATCATATCAAGCATCATGAGGGATAATCCTGGGGAAAATTATCATGTGGACATAATGGGGATAGACTAGGGATATCATCGGGATTTAATAGGGATACAATGGAATGGGACGATTATAATCCCATCACCCTAATATTAAACACCCCAATTGCATGGCCCAAAAAAAAATGTGGAAATTCCCAAAACAAAACCATGGTTTCTATGGGTGTGTTTTAATATGAACGGGAAGGAATTATCAACCATCATAAGGGATGGAGATTTGTATCCCGAAGATGGGGGGCTGTGGAATACCCATACCATGCGTGAAAAGGCCGGAGCCATCGAATTCCGTTGAAGATCTTTGACGCCCTTGTCTGTGGAGAGCCGACTGTGACAGTTCTTTCGGGAAGCTTCGCGTAGTGGGGGCGCACATCATAAATTAATAAACACACACCCAAAAAAAAAAAACTGGGCTAAAACCCAAATTTCCAGGAAATGTCGAATCTTATGGCTCCCCAACTTCCCAAAAAAACAATCGCTTCCCCATCCCCATCAGCACGTCACCGAAGAGCCTCCTGCTGTAGCAGGTGGAAGAGCCTCTCCGACAGCACAGGCATCTCGGCACGCAGCGCCTCCAACAAATCGGCGATGAAAACGGTCGCCTGTTGCTGGGGGTCCTGGATGGTGTCCGTGCCATGGTGCTTGCACAAGACCTGGCGATGGATGGGAAATCATGAGCCAAGGGGGCAGCTAAACCAAAGAAATGAGAAGAAATGTCCAGTCTAGAAGTCGATCAGAGTATGGAAATGGGAATGGGGAGAGGGATGTGATGGAGATGGGGATGGAAGTCAAGTAATCAGGGGTGATCTGCCCACCCAGAAGCATGGTGTGCGCTTTTGATGGTCAAAGCTTTTGCAGCTGCGAATGGGATAAAGGTCAGTGGGGGGGTTGAAACCAGTCACCATGACTACTATTCACTTGCGATTCGTGGGATGAATTTGAAGAGTTCCAACCTGGATCTGCAAAGCCCTCACAAGTTCTACTGTACATTCTGTGGGGAAACACGGGCAAAGCTAAGGTGAAAGACATTGTGTCCTGGAGTAGATAGTTGACAACCGGCGCAAAAGCATCCAAGTTGACTATCCATCAAACCATGTATTCTCTCTCTCTCTCTCCTCTCTCTCTCTCTCTCTCCCCCATCCATTTCACCGACACAACAGCACCATTCGCATTGTTGGTGATACATCCCATGAATACTGGTTGCTTGAATACCTATCATTTCATGGATCTATTATATAAAATCGCGCTATTCATCCCCCAAGCATTCAAAATCAAATACCTGCGGTTGATGTTGAAATACCGCCTATCATATATCATATAACTATATATCATATCCGCATTGTATCCCACTAATCAGCCTTTTTGTTGGTTATATAAATTCCCTACGAATCACAGCATAATGTCAACCCCAGATTAATAAATCTTGGCTATTAATTGGGGGGCTTGCCCCCAGATTGGTCATAAATTACCATTTAAATTGGGACCCCCCCAACTTATTCACAAACTGGTGCTTTTGCAAAATCCTGGGTCAACATTTTCCCGCATTTTCCATTGATCATTGCCTTTCACCACCATCAACTAGCTCGATATCTCTACCATAGACCCGCTCGTTCATATTAGTGAAAGAAATCAACTTAGCGTTAGTTGGCTCACAGTCGGGCACCACCTTGTATCATCATCAATGTATCCGCAGTGCATCACCATGATATTCCCTTTTCGTTGCCAGGTTTTTACAGATACAATTTTTCTTGGTTAAATCCCCATACCCTCGGGTAATCAAACACGGCTTGCTGGAAAGTACCCGGCTCTAAACTTCCACGGCTGATTGGGATTTTCCAGCCACGTTTGATGACACCATGGGGTAAATCCCATTAAATCCCGGCCCATAGCCATTAATCACCATGAATCACCATTGCTAATTAGTATTAAACATTATTTACTATCATGAGCCCTTATTAGTCATTATAAACCACTAATTATTAGCCATCATTAACCACTATCAGCCACTATTCACCACTATTCACCACTATTCACCATTATTCACCACTATTCACCTGGTTAATCCGCCCCGGCAGTGTGTCAAAACCTCGTACCCCTGGTGAACATCAAAATAGCTGGTAAATGGATGTTCATTCCCCTAAAAATGGTAGTAATAGGTATTGATCCGCCCCAGAGATTTTTCCGCCTCCATCTCCTCCATCAGTCGTTCCTGGAAGGCCGTCACCTCCGCATCGCTCAGCTCCTCTGCGAGACCTGAGGAGTCGATGAAGTCGTGGAAGCCTCGCGGCACGATGGCACGAGAGCGTTTTGGGGGGAAAAAACGGGGAAAAAAACGGGGAGAAGTGAAGAAAAACGTGGAAATGGATGAAAATAGCTGGGAAAATCCCATTTCTGGAAAATTCGGGTCGGAGCCAGGTTAGAAGTTGGAATTGCAAATTCAATGCGACAAATATCTTATAAACGTGTGACGAAAATGGGAAAATCATTGAGAAATCAGAATTCTCCCTTAGACTCCGAAAATCACCCGTTTTGTGGAAACTCATCTTCCAACCCCTATCTGGCACGGTCTACGTTAATTTATTGGAGGATAGATCAGTTGTATAACTCTTACAATTACAATTTTGGTACCCGTATAAAGGGGTGGCAAACCCATCCATGCTTCAGGACAAACACATGTCATAATGTTGGCAGTTCTTGCTGCTTATACCCCCATGATTGCTCAGCTTCCATCGGCTTCCCTTAGCGCCAAGCCATATAAGCCATCAACCAAGGTGCCAGAAATTCGGGGCAGCCCATCCATCTTTGGACAAATCCAAAATATCATTAGCCTCTGATAAACCCACATAGCTATGGGAAATCACCATTCTTGAAACTTAAATCAACTACAAATGGCATCAAATCGCCATGTTCAATCTTAATTGTTCGGAGGGTATATTCCACTATCCTAAGCTGTGGATCTGATAGATTTTAGGATCCAACTACATTCCATTATAATACAACATGGGATATAGTGTTGGTTGTACATCTCATTGTATCACAAGATATCTCGATGTTTTCCCATCACCCGCACACCAAAATTATATCCCCATGATATCCCATAGTTAATTCCATGTAACATCCCATATGACAACGTGATATCCCAATCATCTCCCATATTCCCATGATATCAGATGATATCCCATAGTTTTTCCGAGGAACCATCTCTAGCATGCTCCAAGCAAGTGCCATCGCTGAAGCTTTTCATCATCTTCACCTGAGTTCTCCAACGCGAATCGCGGAACTGTGGAACTGGATGATGGGAACACCAAACCGGGAAACCATGGTATTTCAAGGTAAAACCAATGTTTTCCGGGAGTTTTCCCTGAAATCAATCGACAGTTATGACAGGAGACGGAATAAATATCGCCTGAATTAGGACAGGATTTTTTTCTTGCTGGCCACCAGGTTTATACACCGGGAAAACTGGGCAGCAATTAGAGGATAAAATATGGCATATTATGGCTACCATTTAGCTATAATTGGCTGGCGCAACCGGAACTTCCATGCCCCCATCACTTCCTTCTCAACTACATAATATGTCACCCTATAACGAAGATAAATGGAACTCAATCTTCAGAAAAACTGGTCCACAAGAATGACCCCAACTAAAATTCACCAACCCTTCAACCACCCATCGGCCTGGTGATTCCGAATCAGTTGATCCTTCTGTTCGATCAGCAGCTTGCTGCGACTGCGAATCTTTTTCGCCTCTGCGAAGGATAGGACGGTCTGTTCCTTCAATGCCTGCAAGGGTCGACTTGGGACAGGTCAACTGATGAGGTCGCACCTTGAGCTAATCCTGCAGCCGTTTATGGGCCAAATCACCAGTTGGAATAGGACAATCATCGATACATGGCATGCAGCAACCTCCAACCCCTGAAGCCTAGTGAAGAAATGAACTCAGCAATCTGCGACTTTCAACGGAGTGGTGTTCATCTTCTCCCCTTCGCCACTGGTCAACCGGGGGTTACCATCTCCACTTTTTTCAAGCATGCAAAATGTCAAGTAACCCTCGGCCATCCTAGCCCTTGCCGCCTCAAAACTCATCATCTCCGCGGAATGTGTTTGGATTCCGCCTCTGACGGCATTCTTCTGAAGAAGTTCGCTACCGCGTGCGGCACACTCCGGAAGGGAGGGGTTCTCAGCACAAGATGCTGAAACGGCGGTAAAGAGAGCGAAAGTTGTCACGCCTCGCAACATCTCTGGAACGAGGTGACTTGAGCAAGACTAAGCGGTTAAGCGGAAAAGCTAACGGCTTGAGCCAAAGGAGGATCACCAATAATCAAGTTGCGCTTCAGGATAAGTCAGCCCGGGAGCGGGACGTAGCGAAGCGACATCTGTAGTGCAATTGTGTGTGCAGAGGTGGCGCAATACGCCACAGAATTCATCAGAATTCCATTGTTTACCCCAAGGTTAACTAACATAGATGTGAACCCGTGGTTTAAACAGGAAAATGATCTACAAATGGTGTGTTTTCATGTGTTTTCCACATCTATGTTTGTTTACAGGAGAGTAATTTGCCATCCAACGATTTCGCAAGACCTGCGTGCCATGCACTCAAGCGATTCCCAAAGCAACATGCTTGGCTCTTTGCCTGACAAAGCGGGCCACTTCGGAATTTGGGTCATGACCCTGCGCAATACTGAGCCCCACTTGTGTATCAGAGATACCGTCCAATGACTTACTGGAAACGAGTGATATAATATAAACCATCCACAACTGGAGGTTTATGATAGTTTATGATTAGTGATCAAACATGGCAATGTAAAATCCCCCCTTTTATCATCTTTTTATCATCATTTGTAGATGCGTAGATGATGTGCCCTGAAAAAGACGTCCATTTAGACGGGATGAATCGAGCTGTGGCACAACGGCTGAGCCGCTGCAGCAGCTGCCGCTTCTCATCCGCCATGGCCGTCCGAGGATGGCCACGAAGCTTGGCTGCGAAAAATGGCCACGGAACAGTCGTTCTTGATGTCCACTCTTGGAATGGAACTCATCTTGAATGTTGTCCAATGTTTTCCGATGTTTCCCACACAAGATCCTATCACGCTATTTTCCTCATGGCTTCAGGCGCCTTTTCGGGCAAAATGTCTGCAGAATCACTTTGTGATCTGATTCCTCCCAGCCCCGTGGTCTGGGGGAGACCTAGCAACTACGGCTTTGGCGAGGTGGCGCACTTGGGGGAATGTCATTATAACTATTTGATCTCTGACAATGGACCTCGAAGATCACACTGCATGACATGTGATGATGTATGATTTCTGACTCGCAATCTCAGAAGCGCATGCCATCTGGCCTTAATCGAATAGCGACGACCCCAAAAGGTCGTTATCACCTAACATTGACCCAGCGAAGGTCAACTACAGTGACTACAGTACTTCTAAAGATACAAACGTCTCACTGTGGGGAAATGCAACGAACCTGGCTCACGGCCCGGAGACATCAGAGTTGCCACTGCACCTAATTACTTCAGCATCTGCAGACGCTTGTGCACTCCCAGACAGGTCCGGCCATTCCCACAACATCTCCGGTGGAAAGCCACCAACTGCACCTAACCGCGGTTGTTTCGGTCAGCTGGTTGCTCTCACCTCAGAATTCAATCAAGAAATGCAATTCTCCGAAACAAGAGGGTAAAGCCAACATTGAATAGCGAATGGCACAAGAGCCAAGGCAGAACGCAACAGCTCAAACTCGGAGACCATTTCTGCCACCGTCAAGTTCGGTCAGTTGCACTTCCATCAAACTCGGTCAGGGTTCACACAGCTGTGGCCCTGACCTCTGTCCGACGCCGACATGGACAGGGCCAGAGCTGCCTTAAGTTCTGGATCTTCAGCTTCCTGCAGCTCTCAACGGGTTGGAAGTCTGGACTGTTGCATATTTGCTAACAAGACCTTGCCGCAATGAAATCATACAACTCCCAAAAAGGATTTGGGATGATGTGACAGCGGTTAAGATCAAGCTCCTGAAACGGTTTCTGCAGTGGATATGCTGCTGATGAATGCTGTTGATCAACGCGCACACTTTGCTTCGATAAATTGAATGGAAACTGTTCAGTTCAAAGGCGTGGGAACCAGTCGGCGACGGTCAGCTTAACCACTTGCCAAACGACAGGAAAACAACGGTGCATCTAAACCGGTGATTCCAGAGCCAGAACTGCCGACATTCATCATGTCAAAGTGGTTTTATATGTTCTTCTGAATCTGGCCGTATAGCCGACAAAAGAAGATCTTGCTTAAGAGTAGAGAATTGCGCACTTTCATGGCGGAAGCCTTAATTGCGCCATGATGTCAGAAGTGAGCCAAACTATGCGGCCGTGCAGTCCTCCACGTGTTCCAACGAAAGAGCCAATCCTCCTTGCCACTTTGCATGTTCGACTCTGTGCGATCATCTCTAGAGCTGCCCACAATAAAGTTAGTTCTTTCAATTCTTACTAAAACATGCCAAAAAAAGCGCCAAATTATGGACTGTGAGAGGTCGCAGAATGCTTTCATCGCGGCCGGTGGATCGTGCTGCAAGACTGAGAGGACAGGAAAGGAACGGAGAATATCTGGAAACATCTCTGGCCTCTGAAAGCGTTCTGAAATGACCCCTTAGATGAACAAGTGTCAGACGTTGCACACACTTCCTGATTGCCGGCCCAGACTTAGCATGACTTAGCAGTTCTGCCCAATTGTTCAATTTTACTGACAATCTCCCCGGCTGTGGCTCCTCAAAAAATCTTCAGATGGCTTCCAGGTTCCAGCAGGTCTGGATCTTCTTCCTAGGAAAAGTGAGAAAGAAACTTCAATACAACCTCTGCATCATGGTTCGATGACAAACAGCCCTCAGCATGGCGGCCCAAAGCCCCTCAGCGCTGAGCGCCTCACCACTGCAGCCCTGCACGCATGCGCCATCGTCGCCTCCGGCTGTGCCTGGTGGTGCCGAGTTTGTTCTGCATCGGGGCTGTCGTGTTGCGCAAAGATGTTCAAAGCGTGCTCCGCCAACTCCTTTGCTCGGCCAAGGTTTCCCAGAGAGCCATGAGCTACGCAGAGATTGTACACAGTAATCGCTACTTTTGGATGTTCTTTCCCGTAGTGCTGCTCCTCGATTATCAGGGCACGCTCGAGCAGGTCCTTCTGCTGGCTGTAGTCGCCCAGGTATCCATGCGCATCCCTCAAATTATTCAAAGTCCTGGCTACTTCCAGATGTTCTTTCCCGTAGTGCTGCTCCTTGATTGTCAGGGCACGCTCGAGCAGGTCCTTCTGCTGGCTGTAGTCGCCCAGGTCTCCATGCGCATTGCCCAAATTTACCAAAGTCCTGGCTACTTCCAGATGTTCTTTCCCGTAGTGCTGCTCCTTGATTATCAGGGCACGCTCGAGCAGGTCCTTCTTCTGGCTGTGGTTGCCCAGGTCTCCATGCGCATTGCCCAAATTTGCCAAAGTCCTGGCTACTTCCAGATGTTCTTTCCCGTAGTGCTGCTCCTTGATTGTCAGGGCACGCTCGAGCAGGTCCTTCTTCTGCCTGTAGTCGCCCAGGTCTCCATGCGCATTGCCCAAATTTGCCAAAGTCGTGGCTACTTCCGGATGATCTTTCCCGTAGTGCTGCTCCAGGATTATCAGGGCACGCTCGAGCAGGTCCTTCTTCTGCCTGTAGTCGCCCAGGTCTCCATGCGCATTGCCCAAATTTGCCAAAGTCGTGGCTACTTCCGGATGATCTTTCCCGTAGTGCTGCTCCTCTATTATCAGGGCACGCTCGAGCAGGTCCTTCTTCTGGCTGTGGTTGCCCAGGTCTCCATGCGCATTGCCCAAATTATTCAAAGTCCTGGCTACTTCCGGATGATCTTTCCCGTAGTGCTGCTCCTCTATTATCAGGGCACGCTCGAGCAGGTCCTTCTGCTGGCTGTAGTCGCCCAGGTCTCCATGCGCACTGCCCAAATTTGCCAAAGTCCTGGCTACTTCCGGATGATCTTTCCCGTAGTGCTGCTCCAGGATTATCAGGGCACGCTCGAGCAGGTCCTTCTGCTGGCTGTAGTTGCCCAGGTCTCCATGCGCATTGCCCAAATTTGCCAAAGTCCCGGCTACTTCCGGATGATCTTTCCTGTAGTGCTGCTCCAGGATTATCAGGGCACGCTCGAGCAGGTCCTTCTGCTGGCTGTAGTTGCCCAGGTATCCATGCGCACTGCCCAAATTTGCCAAAGTCCTGGCTACTTGCGGATGATCTTTCCCGTAGTGCTGCTCCAGGATTATCAGGGCACGCTCGAGCAGGTCCTTCTTCTGGCTGTAGTTGCCCAGGTCTCCATGCGCATTGCCCAAATTTGCCAAAGTCCCGGCTACTTCCGGATGATCTTTCCCGTAGTGCTGCTCCAGGATTATCAGGGCACGCTCGAGCAGGTCCTTCTTCTGCCTGCAGTCGCCCAGGTCTCCATGCGCATTGCCCAAATTTGCCAAAGCCCTGGCTACTTCCAGCTGTTCTTTCCTGTGGTGCTGCTCCAGGATTATCAGGGCACGCTCGAGCAGGTCCTTCTGCTGGCTGTAGTCGCCCAGGTCTCCATGCGCATTGCCCAAATTTGCCAAAGTCCTGGCTACTTCCAGATGTTCTTTCCCGTAGTGCTGCTCCTTGATTATCAGGGCACGCTCGAGCAGGTCCTTCTTCTGGCTGTAGTCGCCCAGGTCTCCATGCGCAGTGCCCAGATTTGCCAAAGTCACTGCTACACTTGGATGTGCTTGGCCGAAATTCTCGATTTTTGTTTCCAACAAAGCCGTTCCAATGTGTTGGGCCCTGGCTACCATTCCAGTTTGGAGGTAAACCGTAATGAGTTTATCTGCACTCGACATGGTGTTTGCACTTTTCTCCCCGAAAGTGTTTGTGGCGAAGTTGTAAGCCAGCTGCCGAAATGGCAGCTCGCACCACGCCTGGTGTTCCTCTTCCTCTGCAGTCTCGGCCATCTTCTCAAGTTGCATGAAGGTGCCTTGCATTGTGGGATCTTCTGCATCCAAGTTGCCCTGGAAGGTGCGGCCCAAAGCCTCTCCGAAGAGTTGCCTGCAAAGCGCAGCATCTTCCATCAGCTCTTCCCATTTGACGATTCTGCCATGTGACTCGTCACCGCTGGGCACATAGACGTGCACAAGCTCGGGTTGTCGCACGTATCCAAACTCCCACCGGCAGGCTTTCGACCTCAACGTGACATATATACAGCATCTGCTATACACATCTGAACC